TATAAATATATATGCAAGAATAATTTAAGATTGACGTCTTCGGTATTTTCTTTGATTGCTTTTTTCTTTAAGATAACCATTTCCTCTGTGTACATAGAATGAAAATGAAACTAAATTCCATGAGATGTGCCCTTCAAAACAACCCATGACCGAGTAAGTGTTTGCCGTGGGAATATGTATATTGCACGCCAAAACAGTTGACTAATCAGTCCCAGTACGAAGCACAACAACGTATATATAGTTCGTTGAGTCGGCCGCTTCTATTCTTCTACTACAGATCCATTGCAATTCTAAGAGTAATACATTGTCATGTGATCCTAGAAGCAAACAATTCACCACTGTTGTGCTGTGGTGCCGTCTGTGATATGCTGCAGTGTGAGTTTAGGGTGAATTGAGAATTGATCCAACATGGAAGTGGCCGTTACGTGAATAAGTGACCGTTGCGTGTTTCCTGTTCCAGCAGTGCCATCGGCTTTGATAGTGGTGTTTTGCACGTAAATGCAACCGATGAATGTTGCACTTACTTGATCTAAAGTAGAAACAGTTTTTTTTTTCTAAAATGGCTATTAAAGAACTCGTAACAATTACTTAAGATCACAATTGTTACCTATACCGATGCGTCACGCAACATTTATTATTTTAAAGCAGTTTTTTTTACTATAACGGGCGATCTTCTCTTGTACACGTCGCATAATTAGAGAATCAGTTTCGATTTTATGATATCTGTTCAGTATGTTATCGTAGTTTTAACTAATGTTGTAAGCAATATTTGGTAAACAATAGATTCAGTGTTTAAAAGCAACTCTCTTAGAGGTAGCGCACGAATAAAACGAATTGTAACAACCTTACACAGTGCACGTAATTACAGCGAGGAAAGCGACAAAGCCCATGTGAAACTTCTCAATTTCAAGTACTAACTCAAATTATCTCGCTCATTGTTTGTCATAGTAATGTATTGACATGGTTTGTTTCATAAAACCTTTTTGATTATTGCCAGTCATCCTGCTTAGCTTTGTATACTTCTAACAACAAACTTTAGACAAATCGCAAGATCTTAGCCCAGGCCAGATTTCATTATAATGAACATGTCTAGGTAAGCGTCTATCCCTATCCTATCGCTCAGTGATTTTGCGCACCTTTCTAAGCTAAATCAATGAACTGCCGTAAGACGTTTCCCTTAGAATAGTTTTATTTAGCATCATACAGGTCTTAGGGGGCAGTATATACATCCATGTGCCCGAAACAGAAAACATAGGTTGGAGAGCTTTATTTTTTTTACACATCGGCCTCATCGATTTTCGTTATTCCCGTCGTCATATTCTATTCGTCAACCAAATTCTATTACATCTATGTTATTGTATTGACGCTGATGTATACACCTACGCCTATTCTGCACGTCGTAACTAGCAGCAGCAAGTCGATCTCATAGCCCCACTTCTTCCCGTGTTGTTGTTATTCAGCAGACGGAGCTACAGCAACGCTGTCCTCCTCCTCCTCCTCCTTGGTACAGTTTCCGCTTCGCTTCGTTTTGCCTGTGCCATTACTGCTTTATTTTCAGTACGCCTAATGATTTTATAGTATTACCAGCATATTGACAAAAAACGAGATGATTGCTACAGCAAAATTCGGAACTTCGATATGAAATTAAACGTAATACATGCAACAGAGAGTAGCAGATACGTCCATTGGTAAACGATAATGTTGCAAATAATTTCACAGAAAAATCATTTTGCAATATTTTGACGACAACTGCGAATGATCCGTACGTGAGTCGCAGGCTCCCGTGTTCTATGTAGCTTAGCAGAGAAACCGAAAATCGCAAAAGCGAACATTTGCCATTAATTTCGTTCCAGTTTTAGGTATGCACGATGTTCTGCTGGCAATATGCGAGGATAATGGAAGCCAATTAAGCATGCACAGGCGACATAGCTAGCTATCTGCTAATCCGCACAGTCGTCCCTCTAGAGCGGTTTTCAGAAACAACCTTAAAAACGTGCCGCCGTCGATAATGACAATGCATTACATATCTATACACTCACGGATACACAGACGTACGGAAAGCTTTTACACAAAGGCAAACTTCACGTCCATACGCAGAAGTCGTCGCTGTCGCTAAATAGCACCGCGGATTCATAATCAAAGCACATGCGCAAAAGGGGACCACTATCCTCTTACTGCAAGCGCTCATAAAATATACGAGTCTGCGGTTCTTCGCTCATTTTGCTCTCTACAAATTCAGTTCCATTTCTTGGTGTTCCCAATAATAATAATAACGATAATAACTGAAATAGGGGTATTGGGGTAATACTTCTGTTAAGTTCATTTTTGTTTAACCGAACCCTGAACACTTAGTATACCAGCTGCCTGATTGTTCAATTCACTGTTATTTCTCCTATCGCATATTATCTTGCTTATTGTTTTTATTTGCGCTGCTTACGTTGTTGCTGCTATTTCTGCTTTCTTGCTGCTAATAAATTTCATACACATATATATATATATATATATATGAATGTACCCCCAACATGGCGCTAAACCCATAATTACTTGATCTGGTTGTTTATTTGTCCTGGCTTCGGTAGGTAGGATTCTAGTTCGTCACCGTTTTCCATTAACGAAGACGGCTCCGAGCACCGTCTTTTTGACACCAGCACCCCCGTGGTTAACCCCATGTTGTTTTATTATAATTATAATTTTTGTTACTTTTGTTTTGACACCGTGTCCTTCATTGAGTTTCGCTTCGCGAACAAAAATATTTATGTGAATTACGTCTTGTGTGTTTGATGCACAGATGAATTAATGAATGCGTTTTGTCCAGCCCTCCATACTACATATCTATCCCTAGCTGTTGGAAACCGATTTCTTCGAGCTCGTGTGTTTACTAATTACAGCGTCCCGATCTGTCCGTGTCCTCTTCACTTCCTTCTTTCATCTTGCTCTGTAAAGTTCAACTTTTTTCCCGGCCACTCTTCACGTACTGAACTTCGTTCTCAATGTTTTCCATTTTCACAATTTCGTCGTTCAACCAAATTTTCCTTCCCAAATCCCGTCCTCAACGATGATCGCCGCTTTGCGGTTTCGCTCGATCGCACGTTACCGCTTATTGTATTTCAATCATCGTTCCTTCCACTACATCGGCTTCAGATTCGTCTTAACGATACGGATGGTAGCCGGTATTGCGGCCTCCACGGCCCTGCTGCTTACCATAGCTGCCAGTTTGCTGCCATTGGTTGACTCCGTAGCCCCCCTGAGCTCCCCATCCGCCACCATAACCGTCGTAGCCTCCGCCGTAACCTCCGGCGTAGGCGTCGTACGCGCCGTATCCTCCACCATAACCAGCCCAGCCCTGGCTAGCGCCGTAGCCCCCGCGGCCTAAACCACCTCGACCTCGGCCCCCGCCGCGGCCACCTCGCATGCTAAATCCATTCCAGCCACCCCGGAATCCTACAAAAAAGATTAGAAAACAAAAATGGAGTATTCTGCGTGTGCATTTGTTTGTAACTTAACTTCACGTTGCTATTGTATTTAACCAAACAATTGACAATTTTGGGAATCTATACTACTGAATTACCAGGGAATACTTGATCTGTAACGCTATAAATCCTTATATACACAGACAAGGGCGAATACAGCCGTTATTAATACACAATATTGTACATATACCATCATTGTTGACGCTGCGAGGTGTAGCCTTTTTCACATCACATTCCTTTCCGCCAATTATCTGTTTTGGCTTCTTGGCGGCAGCCTCGGCAGCAGCAACGGTTTCATACGTGACAAAAATGAAGCCTCGTCTGACATTCTTCTCCTTATCCATCGGCATTTCGAGATTCTCGATATTGCCGAATTGACCGAAGTGAGCACGAATGTCCTCCTCCGATGTTTCTGGCGGAAGACCACCACAGAAGACCTATCCACGTAAAAGAACAACAAACGTATAACACAGTCATGTAAAAAATTTTATACCTGGCAATTAACGGATTGCAAGGTATACCCTATTCTAATATAAAGTGAAAAGTCATTATGATTTGTGACTAAAGAGTTATGTAGTACAGCAATACATTCCATATATCGTCATTACTATTCATTACCTTGTTAGCACCAGGACGAGCCTTGGCTGGTTTTGGATCAATTTGTTTTCCCTTGACCGTGTGCGGTGACACAGCAATTGCTGCTTCAAGCGCCTCTTTCGTGGCGAACGTGATGAATCCGAAGCAGCGCGACTTGTTCGTCACCGGATTCATTTTGATCGTACATTGCTCTATTTCACCGTAGGTCATAAAATGCTCACGGAGATCAGCGTCCGTCGTGTCGAGGGAAAGACCACCGCAAAACAGCTTCCTGTAAAACCGTCCCGGAGAGCGGCGCGGTGTGCAATACGAATCAAGATGAAAATAGTGATGTATATTGATTTACATTAATACCAAACTCCCGGACACAATATGTACACACAGATGTTAGTCTATAAGACGTACAGTTACACTTCGCCAAGCGCAACTCAGATCATGCGGTCTACTATCGACCTACAGTATCGCATTTAAAACCTATTTTAGTAGCTTTATTCGTTATCTTCATATTTGACCAGTGGCAATCCGGTACGTGATTTTGCTTTAGCAACTTATTTCGTTAACTTGCGAAACAACAGCGCCACTGCACATTTGAAAATAAAAGGGACATAGGAATAGTGCGCTTACATTAGCTTATACGTAAATATATATACTGAAAAACGTGTTACTCAGGGGAGAGAGTTAAATAAAAAAACAAAGGTACCAATGTCCAACGTAGCAACGGGCAGCCGTTATACAAGTATAAAGTCTGTATGTGCGTGTGTTTTATCATCTGTATCTGCAAAGAGCCATGTTTTAGGATGTTAATAACGCGATTCGATAAAATCCATGACCATAATAATAATATCATTACAATATACTGTGACAAGACTCAAAAGGTTTTTGTAGTATTCGTGTATATTTACGAATAACAAATTCTAACATTCTCCTATTGTGTTATTGCCACAGTTAAATGGTAAACTGTACACCAGCATTTCAGTGCCGAGTCAGTCCAGAAAAGTCATTTTCTAAACGATCATTTTTAATGTGTTGCTGTGTAGATGTGTTTTTTAAAAATTTAAGACAACCCTAGCAATAGTATATTGCACGTCTACGCAGTCGATTCCGAAATGATCGGGTTAGCAGTACACTTTTCAAAAAACAAATAATTGACACGTATATTTTACGTAAGAACCGCATTTTTTACTTTAATGTCACGGTGAATCTAAAAGAAGATACTAGTTGAACGTATGTATCGTTTGTATATATTATCTAAAAGCCCTACTTATGTCCATCGATATTTCAACGCGTGTTTATTTTAGAACTTGTTAAATCTTCCATACAATCGGTAACGCGTCGTTTGACTCCATCATGCGATGTGGTAAAATAATAATAGCAAGTATGTTTAAAAAAGTTATTAAGTCAATAGTTACTATTATCTAAATTATATCGAAAATATAATGAAAATTATATATTGAAATTGATATTAATTTAACATCCATATATGCAAAATATAAATAAAAGCTTCACTCTCACGGAAGCATGATTTTCCTTGTACATGATTCTTAGCTGAATCAATTTTGAAAAACAATACCAACCGTTGCTATAATATAATCGGCCCGATCATTTTGGTGACGACTCGAGTAACTGACTTTATTACAATATTAAGCAAGCTAGATACGTAATACATCATGTCATTAGTTAGTGTCACCAGATCAGCCGTCTAAATATCTAGCCGAACTACAAAAAGTCGGTGTCTGTCTGTTTGTCGTACCCAAATCGATTTTTCCGAGTGGTCGGATTTTGTGGGTCGCTATATTTTCATCCTGGAAAGATCCGCGCAAAGCATCAAGCCAATTGGCCAAATTCTGTTCCTCACAAAGAGAAAAATTCGCTTTTCCGATAGAGCGTAAAGTTAATTTGGTTGGTTGTAAATCGATGGCAGCAATTTCTGTCTCATCTTTCAAGTTTTAGAACACGGCGGCCACCAGCATCGTCGGCACTCATCATCTGTGCGAAAATTGTGTTACGCGAACAAGAGTGCCCAATGTGTGTTGCATGACAAACTGGGTTTAAACTATTTGTGAAAGAAGCTACTACGTTATAACTATTAGGGAATAGTTGGCCGCTTAATGACGTTTCTTGTATTATAAATATAATTAATTAGCCCTTTACCTTTATACAGGTAAAATATAGTTTGTTTAGTAGCAAACCAGGCGTGGAGCAAAGCCCGCGATTGGAGCTCTAGAATGATCTAATTGTATGCATATCGTGTTTGATGTTGTGTTATGGATATTGAGATCAAAACTCAAACGCAATAATAGGCCTTTATTATTATTATTATTATTATTATTATTATTATCATTATTATTATTGTTCGTTTTAATTCCAGTTCATTTTAATTGTATAAAAATAGGATATGCTGTTCTTTTACATTCTTATTATAACAAATCTATTATAATTGTTACTTAAATTCTTCGCTCATCACACAGTTATTTTCATGTTTTCTTCTTTAGATCTTCTATCAGTTTTGTGTAGCTTTCAAGATGGCTGGTTCATGTTTGATGCCGAAAACGGTTGGATTGGTAGGTGAACAATACTTGATTATCGAGGGAGAGTACAAAGGAGATGGGGAACAAAACGAAAAGGGGGTTCCAACAGTAGTAGCTGTAGCACTGATGAGTGAGTTGTGAGACGTAGCTGACAAAGGTTGTTGCTGTAGTTGAACTTTTTTTTTAAAAAATCCGATGTGACAGGGAAGAGTGCTGAATAAAACACGGCAGTACGGCGATGTGAGTGGCACTGCTGCTCCGATTTTTTTTGTTTTTTAGTTTTCATAGCGACCGATCAATGGGTAATTAGATGGAAGATGAACTCTGATCCTATCACAGGCTATCTCTACTCAGTCTTGCTTGCTAGAGCTCATATCAACATGCGTAAGACGAGATCTATCATCAGCAAACAGGTTGAAATTCTATCAGAGTCCTAGAGATGATGATAGTTGGCATATTTAATATGCATAATGTTCTTCCTTACATTTATCACCCCCCACCAACAACTGGAATACTTCTGCCACAGGCTTCGTCACTGAGAATCTAGGCCGGCTTCGACCTTTGGCTCTAGAATAGCCTCTGTTCTTCTATTGAAGAGAGAAGATCGATCATCGATATTGAGAATGAATATAGAGAGAAAGATACGAACATGGAAGACGAAAATAATGACTTTAATTTCCGAAGTGATTTACCGATCGATTCTAATAATGAGACCTATCATTAAGCAAACTGATAGATTCACTGATCCAATAAGATATAAATATGGTTGGCATTTCATAGTCTATTCTTCAGTTATCTCCTTAGACCATCTAACAATTAGCACGCTTATCGTAAACTGCAATAACAAGCGTAACAGCATTTTCAATCGATCAGTCACCAATCAATCAATGAATCAATCATAAATCCATCATATAATCGGCTTTATCACTCGTGAGTAAAATCATATTCGTCATCAGCATCATGATCGTATCATATCGATCGCCAGTTCTGTCAAACCAACTTTACCATTGATCGCTCGGGCAGCATGCGGAGACGAGGACTGTTGTTGCTGTTGCAGCTGCTGCAGCTGCGCGCTGACGGCTGAACCAATGATCATCGCCACAGGGTGTGGCCCCCGAAATAATCGGCGGTGCTTGACCGATTCGGCCGTCGTCGATGCTGTGCGCTCGCCACACTGATCATCACGTCGACTCTTCAGATTCTGCGAAGCGCTTGTGGCGGCCCCTTTGCTACACGTCTCTTCCTGGCCCAAATCCGTTGCTGTTGGCCACTGTCAGCTGCTGTTCTTGCCTTTATCACATGTCGTGCGAACGTGCACTGTCGTATTCGACTCTAGGTTATCATCATGACTACTTATGCATGTCCTAACACGTGCCTGATTTTGTGATTGCTGTGGGAATCTTATCTCTTTGCTGGTAACAATATTTAAGTGCTTATCGAGTAAGTAGTTTTTATCAGAATGCGATGTAAAAGAACTAGGAAAACAATTAGGCCCAGAACAACCTGTGTAGTAGGCAATCGTACTAACAATGGTTGCTGTATGATTTAGTTCAGTTAAATGTACACTTCTAGCTTATATAACGTATTGTTGGGATAGTGATAAAAATACAATATCGCTTTAGTCATATCTATAATAATAAGGTCTACTATATATGCATAGATCATAAGTCGTTGTGCATTTCATTTATATTTATTCATATTTATATTTTCCTATATTAGACGCTCAATGTTATTTATACGCTTCCATAGAGTAAAAATGCCTAATTATTATTTACCAATACGTACAAGCTAATGTTAATGTACACTAAGCGATCACTCATATACGATCTCACTCAAATACGGCACGCCAGCACAACTTACATGCTTAAAAAAGGTTCTGATGACAAGTGATGTTTGTATTATTGAAAATGACTATAATATATCTCGGTCAGTTTCACAATCGTTGCTGCCTAAAAAATATTTTCCCGCAAAAGGCAGCGGCATAAAAATGTCTCCTTCCTAAAGTAGACAGCCTTGTCAGGTTCGTAAAGCCACAAAACTTAATTGTTTGTCTGGAAAATATTTTGATTTGCAAATATAAATAAAAGCGAAGAGACCGACATTACATTTACCAAAACCGCTTAAGTATAGCTACTATAATATATACGCTGTGAAGAACCTAATACTGCGATATCATAGAAAATTTACATTCCAGTTAAAAATATCTGGCAATGAACCATAGCCAGATTGCAAAGCTACAAACGATGTACAAAGGCATAAGTCGGTCTCTAACTACTTTAATTTAACTGCGATCTACATGTAGTAGAAAGAATCGCACAATCCCTTGTCTTGATGGTTCGATCGGCCGTTCGAGGATGCATTCATCCGCCATCAGACTAGTTTTTCTGCTAAAAAAAATTTGAATTTTGTCAAATCTGAAGAAAATTTGGTAGACACCGACGGGTAAGCAGGGCACATGCGTGCGGTTCAATACAAGGAGTCGTTTGAGACTGTTTCGTCGCACAAACAATGTATTAGTTTGTGCTTCTCGTATCAAGTTGTCAACGACTTCCTATACGCCGAAATAAATAGAAATCCCCAGTTTCACATTAACGCACGCACCCATGCAAAAAGACAGTCGCACTAATCAAAAGAAGGAGAGAACGTAGGTGTCACTCAAGTTGCAAACAAGCGTTCGAACGCGTGCGTTAGTGGTAGAAACTCGTACCAATATGCATCTCTCGCGGAGCGACGGCACTAGAAAAGTCGAACTTCAGGCGAGTTGATCTAGTTCGTTGTAACTTCTCCTGTAGTATTTATATTGCCTGGCAAACATTGTATCTATGCACCCACCATAGCCATCAGTGGACATCTATTATATAATCAACTAACCTACAAAAAATAATGCTTCGGCATAGGACAGGTGTGACGGCGAATCATGGCATATCTGTCTTATACAACGGTAGGCTGCTGTTGCTGCTACCGCTCGCGGCCTCTAGTTCTCGGTGTTTTTGTGTGTCTATGTCCGTCCGTCCGTCTGTCTGTCTGTCTGTATGCCTGTATGTTAGCCCGTTCGCGCGCCTACGCCTTGAGCCATCACTGCTAATTCTAGCAGCGATCGTCAATCACTACGAGCGCCATCACTACCACCTCTAAAAGTTATCACGCAGTTTATTCGCTCCTTCGCTGCTACTGCTAAAATGCTCGCTTCCTCCGCAAATTGGTTTGTCGTCGTTGCTTCTCTAATGCTCTCGATGTAACACGCAGACCAGCAACCAGAAGCAGCACTACTCTATCGTAGACAAACGGCCGCAGCAGACGAGCACAAAGGCAAACAGTCACTCCAGGAGCGGTACGCGCATGTCGTGTATATGCTTATGCCTAGCTGCTGTTGCCCCCAACTAACAGCCCAGGGAACCACGCCGCCGCTGAAGCGGTTCACTGCAGGCGTCGACAGAAAAGCAGCAACAACAGAGGTCCGTTGGTGCTGCTATTGCTGTTTTGTTGTTGTACCGTACGCCTGTGCACCGCTCCTGCTCCGCTGTCGACTATATTATTATTGTTATTTTCAATATTACCGTGGTGCAGCAGTGGCGACAGGATCAGCGCTAAAGGTAACGCCACTAATAGTCCCGTTCCTGCGCGTGTTACTAACCAACGCCTGACTGACTGAGTGAGTGAGCGGTCAACGGCATGCAGGAAGCACAGGAAGAAGCAACAGCAGCATGAACCATCGCCGCCATCCCGGCGTTTAGACGCACCAAAGAAGCCCCACTGGCACGCGGCACAGTCAAGGAGCGAGCAGCAGCGCCATGGTGGCGGTTAGTGGCTGGCGTCTGTTTGTCCTGAGGGTGGCCGGCCAATCAGCCTGGAAGCTGGCGCATAAATTTATTCGGCGCAGGTACGGCTCGGCTGTGCTAGGAAAAATGTTAGCCCTACATTTTAAATATAAAGCTACTTTTAATTATTCGTAAGAAATAGATATACGTATCGAGAAAATACTATAATGAACCTTGCTTTTCGGCGGTTTGGCTGAAAAATAGCCGGCGATCGGCAATGGCGGTTGTGGCAATAAGCGCTTGGGCCGCAATGCGCACAAGGGGAACGATTTATCCCCCGAAACTCTGCGCCACGAGTACGGCGATTGGTTTAATGCAATGTACTTATTTCGTTGCGCATTCCTACACACATACATTTACGGCTACTACTTTTCTACATAAAACTAGGCACGCGTCGTTCAAACTCGCACATGAACAAAATGGACTCACCGTTCCTCAGCATCGGCATTCGTCGCGCCCGTGGATCCGTTGGTGCCCGAGTCGATAGTTCCATCGCCGTTGGTCGCCTCCATTTTGCTCTCCTCTTCCGAAGCCATTTGAGCCTCAACTTCAGACATTGTCTTGGCAATATTGGCGATTCTCGCTGCGCAGTGACTGTCACTCGACGACCGTCAAACAGAGATCAGATCGAAATCACTCGACTCCTGCACTCGACGATGAGAGTTAGAGGTAACGAAGGTCAGTCTGAATTCTCGTTAGTAGAAAGAAGGTGTTTGCCAGACGGACGAATTGTACGAAATTTTGAAATACACAACCACGAAATCTTCTTCTAGCTGTTGTAGTCGCCGGCGAGCAAACACACTTAGCAGTTGGCTACGAAGTCCACGAGCAGATCCCTAGTCATCTACCTTTACAGTCCCTAGCTTACCCTAGACCCATCCCTAGATGATGTGCCAAAACGAGCCCAGGCGCAGCCGCTCATTGGCTAGCTATTATTATCAGACGGGCGAGAGTGTGCGCGTGGCGGTGAGGGATCGTCCATCCCTAGGCTAATGTTTCACCAAGGAATGATTGTACCTAGAAAATGCCGGCAAGCCACCAGCGCCAGAGATTCCCTTCCCTCCCGCTACGGCGGACAGCTTACGGCGTCAGGGCAGCGCGGAAGAAAAATGAAGCGTTTTCGAAGTCACAGATGTTCTTTTTGTATGGGTTCGCTATCATTTAACAATATATGTTCATCGAATACAAGCCTTAATGTAAACCATGGTTATCAATAAGAACAAAAAGTAGGATACTATTAAGAATTCAAGTACATATGCTACAAAATTCAAGTAGCACGAAGAATTTCGAATTAGTGCTGTTCTCATGTATAAGGATGAGTCGATTACTCAAGCATCAATTTCGAAGAGCTTGAGTCAAACACCTCGTTGATCCGTTACTTATTGGGGATCGGCCATCAACCATCGAAAAATGTATGATACGCCATTATTAGCAACATTTTATATATTAAATAAGTTGTAGGCGATGCTTTAGGTTATCAGTGCTACTTAAAATTAAATTTTATTTGATGAAAATATTTGTAATGGCAGAGAACTCGAATCTAGAAATTTTGATGTGAATTCATGAGTGCAATCATGCGGGGTACACAAGCAAAAATCTAAATATGCATTGCACTTAATGTGCTATTATAAACATGGCAACGATAATGAATGAAGATGCGACAGTGGTTCAGCCCCATGCGAACTAGTTTAGCGAACGCTAAAAGCTTCAACGCAACTTCTTATATAAGACCAGAAGCAATTTACTTAAAAAAAATTTTTTTGAGATTCGAATATAAAGGAATTCATATGCACAGATCAGTTTGAACAGCTTTTTAGACTCGCATTGTATGATCTTTTAAGGTTTGAATAAACGTTCCTACATACATGTATATATACTGTATGCCGAAAAAACTGCCTGTATATGGTACCGTCACATCATTATTCTGTTATAAGGACCCTGGAAATGATAGTAATCCGTAATGCTGAATAGGATCAAAAACAATTCGAGTCGATTTTCTGATTCAGAGTTAACGTAGCTTTAACAGATCTTGTCAAGCTTTGAAACATGCATACAATTACAAAACAAATAATAGCTCTGTATACGCTTATTCAATTGAATCTTTAGAGTGCCGATAAAATTGCTTACTGTTTGTCGTCTGAGTACACACTATTAAAGCTATCGAATTTCTAATAAAGAATCTCGGCCATTTAGTTCAAAAGTATAGATTTCTTATAGGTGATCGATAAATCAAACAATCCTTAGGCGTTCCTAATTACTTTGCTTATGTTGAGCAGGTGCTTGTCATGGCGAGGCATGAATTAGCGGTCTAATTCCTTCAGTAAACGATTTATGTTTTCAACTTGAGTTCACTTGATGATCTCCACCCACTTTAATTTACACTCTAAATGCATACCATGGGATGCTGCTATCGCGTCCGGTGACAGTCGGTATGTCTATGCCGTCTTCTATCTTTCTAGGATGATCAGACTTTGAAACCGCATTTTGAGCTAGTGCGCAATCTCTTACATTTCGACAATATCCAACATGAGCGAATTATGAAGAAATAAAGTCGCCAAGAATAAAGAAGAAATAAATAAATAAAAAATCGCGCTTTGGCATTCTAGTAGTCTTATTGGTTCTTGTTTGCCATAAAACAGCTTTCTACTTTCCGGAATGTCAAAAGAGTATATACAAGCAGAACAACTTTTTAAAAGTTGTTCTGCTTGTATTGTATTGCTCTCATTTGAACAATTTTGGAAAAATTAAAAGCAGTTATTAAACAAATGCAGAAAGCTCCTGTTAACGTACAAGGATTCTGAAGGACATTTGATACCTGAAAATCAGTGTAAGGGAAATAAATATATCTGAAGTCTTCTATAGAAAAATATTTTATCTATATATATATATATATATATATATATATATATATATATATATATATATAGTGAAATACTCAACACAATGTTTTGCCGAATAAGTAAAACACGACATTTAGGTATTTATTAAGGAAACTATCAGAAATATTTTATGGTCAAAGCAGCTTCTAAAAGTCTAATGCGATAATCTACCTACCTTAGTCATATTAGACCACTAACAAAACAATCTTGAATTAAAAGGCTGCTTTGAACTTTAAGCCATTGAATTGCAGCATCTTGGGTTGGGGTTGAGTATATGACAATGAATCGTAACTTCGCTGCCTAAAAGTAACATAGCGCACGATGCGACAATCAAATTAACATCTTCTTAATTCTCCTTTGTAAGACAAAAAGAAAGAGGGAAGACTAAGCGTGAGTTGCGGAGAGTGACATCGGACTTTTGCCTGACTTGTATCTGATCATCCACATCTTTTAGCGGTTAACAAAATGACACCTTCTTACAGTCGTTCAATACAAATTAGCTCATTGTTGCGTTCTAACTGTAAAAGCGTCTAGTCCTTGTATGAAGCAGAACGAATCACCTATGGCACGTAGAGTGTCCCAGCTAGCGTTGCAAGCAGCAACCTCAGTGTATGCGGTCAATTTGAACATTATCATCACTCTGACTTTTCGTATAAACGTCGCATTTGAAATCTGCGACGAATATAAGACCTCATATGTGAGTATTTCGACCGCCAACTTGTCCACTTCTGTAACAAGTCCTATCGGAACCTTGATACCCGCCACATACACACGAAAAGTTGATGGTGTATCGGTTGTGCACTAAATCATACAGAAAGAACTTGAAATACTCGCCAAATTAGGCGGAATCTATAGTTTCAAAAACCTGTATACATATGTTGAGATGTTAAGATAGAAGTGAGTAACTACAATTAGGCTCTCCACAGACATAGTTTAATGCTCACGATGTACTGAAGGTCAGGTCAACTTACGAATATTTTACTCTACAGCTCTTCCTTAATACTTTTCCCCTACTTTATTATCGAGCCATCGTTGAAAATGACTTCGCGAATTAACTAATTAGTATATATAGTTGAGAATATAGGTTATCTAGAAGAATATCGCAGTTTTACTGAGAACTAACTTGATGTTAATTGAGGTGATAATTTGCTTGGAAAAAATGACGACATAATTATGAGAAAATTGTCTTCAAAAAAAGAACGTTTTCTGCTGATTTTTGTTAGCTTGAATTTTATTTTTTCAATCGATCCTGACGTTTAGTAATGTAAATAATTTCTATAGCTACTCAGCTTAGACCAAACACGAATTTCCTAGCATTTTCTCTTTCCTTTTACTACGTAGGTGATGTGAGCAAGTTGTTAGAAGCAGGATATTACAATTTTTACCTGTACTATCAGAAAATCTCAAAAAAGATTTTTATGATGACCATAGGCGTCGACTGGTTTAATTCTGCGTGAAATGTATGTATATGTATCATTATTCGTGCATGTAAATAGGAGGGATAGAATGCATGTAATGGACAAAATGAACGTTCGATATTTATTCGTAATCTTTCGGTAATAATGACAGGTTGTAGCATCTACTTGCTCCCTTTCCTCACAATGCCCATACAAGTTTTAATTTTTCGTCGCCTTATTTTGTAAATAAATTTACTCTCGTCTATAGATCTTCGATTCCTATAAAAAATATAACTTTTGTGGTTCAACTTGGATTCTGCCCAAATTTCCTTTATTCGTTTCTTCCTATTACACTTATGTTTATGAGAAATAGGCACTGCGTTAGATTGATTATTGAAATGTCCTTTGCCCGAGATCAGGCCAAGCAAACACGATTCACTCTGGATTAAATTTTCGTTCTTTATCTAACCACGTTGATGTATTTGTATACAATTTTCTAGCTGCTATTTGTACAAGCCCAAAACCATCTTCAAAGCCGTCTATTTCTAGCAAAGATATATTCGTCAATACTTAAAACAAATTACTTGCAGAAATACGAGCATTTCGGATGACTCGATTTTGCCTGCAATAACCTCAAAACAATTTTTCGATGTGATGCACTTCTGGCTGCACTCAGTGGGGCGCAGGGTGTGCGTATTAGCACTGTTACTGAAGTCTTAGTATTACTGTCCAAACAGCCGCAGATGATGTTAAGTAACTCAACAGAGGTCGGTAAACATAACATAATGATGATACTGTGTAGTATAATTGTCGTATTAGCAATAATATTTATTAATAAAAAAAACTTCTGAAGCATGTGCCATGCTAGACAAACGTCATAGCTGTCCTTGTTGATTTAATGCAGTAGTTATCAACACTACGAGCGAATGAGGGAAATTATACTGGTTCTCCGGATTTACGCGCTCAGTTTGTTTCAATGTATGAGGAGATGTCGATTTCGTCGGGAAGTTCCAGGATGCTGACATCAAATCGGTCCTGTACGTCATTCAGTGTCTTGGCGTCTTCACCATCGGACACAAACGTCACCGCAAGACCTTTAGTACCGAAACGACCAGCTCGGGCAACTCTGCAATACGGAAAAAATGACAAAATCATCGTCATTCTAATCTTCAAAACGAGAGCGGGGCAACTTGCATTTTAATAATTTACCTTTTAGACCTACGTTACAAAACCACTGGTTGATATACCCACAAAGAACAATTCTTAATATGTAAACTACGTTATTGAAGTGTATTCTAATATAAAATACTTTAACAAACTAAATATACTAGATTAGCATTGTTTAGATTTTATTGCATTGGTGGTTTAGTCATACCTGTGAAGGTACGTATCCGTATTCTCAGGCATGTCATAGTTGAAAACGATGTTTACACGTTCGATATCCATACCACGCCCAAACAAGTTGGTCGCAACGAGAATACGCTTTTGGAAGTCTTTGAATTGTTGATAGCGCGAAAGGCGCTCCTCTTGTGTCATCGCACGATGAATGGCGATCGCCGGGAAGTTCTGTTCGGCTAGCAGCTGCGAAAGCGCCATGCAACGTTGTACGCTCTTAACGAAGATCACGACCTGAAAGGTAAGATAGATATATATAATTAATAAGTTAGATACGGACAATCGAAAGTGAATAACCAGTATAAGACTCGCTTAATATTTCTAGCATGACCCTATACATTTTCACACAATGGGACCTCAGAAGTTAGAAGGATCTTTATCGGTTAAATACCTCTAGTCCTAATAGAACTCACTTGGTTGAACTCGAGTACATCAAGAAGTTCAAACAGCTTGCGGTTTTTCTCGTTGTCCTTCAGCTTGACGTAATACTGTTGAAGGCCGTGAAGTGTGAGTTTTGCTTCATTGTCAACGTATACCTGCATGGCGTCCTGCATGAATTTCAGGCAGACAGGCCGAATTTCCTTAGACAACGTAGCTGAGAACATCATCACCTGCTTCTCGGTGGGCGTATTACGGTAGATTTCCTGAACGTCCCGTCGCATATCTGTCATACATACACAAATACGAAACAGATCAGCACAAACGTGTAACATATGGTTAGCATTGAAGGTGGACATCGATAGGGATGGGACCAGAATGGGCGAAAAGATATATACTTTTATAGTTTAACTTGTCACATATGGAGTTACGAATACTTCCGCTTAGGCGTGTAAATGAAACCAATAGGACACCACCGAAAAGATGAGCATCATAAATTCAACCCGATTTAGTAACAGCACCATTCGCACACAGTACTCTACGCGCACACACACACACCGAAACGCGATTCTCTTTAATTAGGGATTCTTTAGAAAAATAAACTAGAAACAGGTGGAACAGCCGTGTCTACTAGGTAAGAGAAACCAGGGCGAGAGGAGGGAATTGAGCTATTGTAATTGGATGTTCCGTGTGATAAACAAATTTCTTCGCCATAGAGAGTACATTGTAATAATATCAGTCAGTGAACGCGAGAAAGCGACTGAGGGTGGCCAGTACTCTGTAGTAGTTAGATAGTACACGAGTTGAGCCTCCATCCGAGAGAGATCGGGCGGCCGCCGCCGCTTTAGACTTCACTCTACTTCGTCTTCCTCCGACCCAACACACATCAGCCGGGCAGCAGCAGCAACACACAGCACGTTGACACCGAACATCTCGACGGGTCACAATCATCATCGGAGCCATCCTCGGCCTCCGGCGTAGTAACAGCACAGAGGGCGCAAGCATCACTTGCCACTTATGTACCTGTATTAAAGGACACGTGGAGTAATCGCAATGCAGCGAGAAGAACAATGTATATAGCTAGGCCCCCGGACACCCGACAGACTCTGCCAGCGAGCCATTCACCGCCAGCGTGCTAACATTATGGCACGCGCATTCCCTTATTCTCATTCATCAATTGATCGATCAGTAAAACATCAGCGCACATAATAGGGCACTTCTAGGACGAGCCTTTCTTGTGCAACACGCCCTTGAGACCATCGATAACTAGTCAGATCAGCTTGATGACAACAACTGATCGGAACAACTGTTCGGAAGCGACGCGGACCTTGCCCGAGGTCCACGATCCGAGGACGCGCGGAAGAGGCTAACAGTGGACGTTTTAGTGATGAAGGATCATGTGTGTAAAATAGGATTTTTTAATGTTTTTTTTTGAAGAGTCGATCAGCTGACTTGCATTCACTTCTCTCTAGCACACCATGGTATGGGTGATGCCGGAGTGCACTGCTGGAGGTAAGAGGGACATCAAATAATGTCAGCCAAACAGCTTGTCTGTTGATTCACTATTGAGGTTCTACGGGTTTCAAGTTTTGAGATCATTTGAGAACTTTGCTGCTGCTGATGTTGCTGCTTGTTTTGATTCAGATTTGATTTTGCTGTTGGTCAAAAAGTGTTCACGGTCAGAAGAGATGAAGGTAATATTTTTGTTTGTTTGTTTAGTTTCGAGCTCAAGGACGGTGTGTGCTGCACCACAGCGGTAGTATCGTTTCCGCGCAAGCTAGCTGATTGCTGTTGAATCTTGATTGCTCGTTGGCGAAAGGCTGTCATCAGCGGGGCTGCTACCCTGCCGCGACAGATAGAAACATGGACAGACGTGAATTACCTGAAAATAACAGCGAAAGCCAGATAGTCTTAATAAACACTGACAGGGTCTCATATATAAGTACGACTTGAGCCACGTACATAAAACACTAGAATTTTTGTAAACGCTTTTGATGTATGATCGAGTCTTTGGTAGGAAAAGCACAGAAAGATCTTGATTTAGAATGAACCATGCCGCCAAAGCAGGGGGTACGCTAGTGCGAAGTAGGCATACAACAAATACGGTGCATTTTATTATTCGTTTATCAATTACAAAAATGCATGTATGCCGGATGTGTATTACTAGTACCATATAAAAAATACGATAGAAAGAGAAAAACAAAAGAAATTTTCCTAGATGACACACACTTTTCTAAAAACAAGCGTTATGATGCAATATACACAGAATGTGCAGATTTGCATTAACAACTAACCGAGTGAGTCGAGCATCTTGTCGCACTCATCGAGCACAAAGTGCTTGATGTTCTTCAGCGAGAGTTTCTTGGTGTTGACAAGCGCGAGGATGCGTCCGGGGGTGCCGACTACGATGTGAGGACAAGCTGTCTTGAGGGTCTTCTCGTCGTTCGCAATGGCCAGACCTCCGAAGAATACCCCCACACGAACGCCGGTCATGTACTTCGAAAAGCGCTCGTACTCCTTCGAGATCTGAAACGCCAGCTCGCGTGTGTGGCACATGACCAACACCGACACCTAGCCAGGCCAAACGAGTAGATAATCGCCACAATATTACTGAATGAGGTATACTGCTAAACAAAGTGGGCTATGCTGCCGCGGTGAAATACGCTAGGTTTGTCGGTGGCATACTTTACTTAGTAAGTTAATGTGCTCTTTGCAATCCAAAGAGTTTGCTCATTGTCGGCAATAAAAAGTCTTAACTACGAACCTCGCCGTCGACAGGCTCAAGCTGTTGAAGAGTAGCAAGAACGAACACAGCCGTCTTGCCCATACCCGACTTGGCCTGGCACAATACATCCATACCAAGGATCGCCTGTGGAATACATTCATGTTGAACTGTAATACACACAAACACACACATTATGACAATAGTCGGTCATTAAGATAAATCAGCTGCAAAAGCGAACTAGTAAATCCGTAGTTGTTAACCATATCCTCGGTATATATATAATGTTTATACGTTGACCGTTATTATTACTACGCATAAATGTAAACATAGCGAAACGTTTAACGAGCTACACAAGGCTACACCGCTAGGTAGGTTGAAAAAGGAAATGACAGAATCCTAACGAGGCTATCCCTGCTGGCATGGCGGGTCACCCTATAATATAATGGATCAGGGCTCAACAAGTGAACTCGCAAATCTGGTAGCCATTCCTGTAAGCTTTGGTTTGAAGTAATATTTGAATCAGTTCCAAAGCAAGCTCCAAACATGCGGGATCTTATATCTGTAGATGAGAGCTCTACAGAACCGCGCAAATAAATACCTTAGTGGTGAAATCTTGTGTGCATAATACAACATCCTCAAAAAAATAATGTAAAAACGTCCGCCTGTTCTGCCTTAATACTTACCGGCCGAAGGATGTTCAAAGCCGCAATCTACTATAGCCCTAAGTAACTCCGGTTTAAGGAGGAAATCTCGAAAGCCTGATGAGTGAATTGATACGTAACCGCCAGCGGGCTTCTTTACTTCTTTGCCAGCCCCGGTATCCCCGACAACAGCGGCATCACCTGCCGCCGCCGCGGGCGTTTGAGTTGTAGTCTGCTCCTCCTCATCCTCGTAGTCGAGCAGATCGGTATCAGCCATTTTATTATGATTTATGTTAGTTCTGTAAAAAAAAATGAATAAAGAAAAAAAATGATGTTTAAATGCAGAACCCAACCGGCATCATCGTATTGCGTCTACTCGAAATTATACGCGACGCGTATGCACCTGTAATTAGCGCAGAATGAAAACTGGAAAATGCTGGTCTGTCTTATTAAACAGTATACATAACTCTACCACAGAACATAACCAAATATGGCTTGGCTGATCGTAGATTGTTGTTAAACTTGGACAACAATTTTCAACACGCATGAACCTTTACTATCTTAACTACTTCGGATGTAAGTACTAATCTAAGAAATGTAATTTCTCAGCTGAAATTCCATAAAACTTATACGTTGGATAATAATAAACAATAACAAGTAGTTGCGCATGTTGCGCTAAGTACGCCAGACAGCAGCTTCAATAACAATAATGTTAAGCCTATTTACAACAAGCGTAAAAACGTCCTAACAATGGCACCTTACGATTAGCAAACAACAGCAGAAGACGAAATCAACTCTGAAGAAAATAGGCAATTTTGTTTTTTTCTGTAGAATGGCAGGTGTAGTGGTTTCCAGTTCGTCGATTCGGCAAGTGATACCAATAATTTATTGGTAAAATTCATTATACACTATTAGCTTATAAACATGTTTTGAGTTTTACGGGCCGTCTAGCTTTTAACCACCGCCTCACACGTCTGACTCTTGGCACGGAACAAATTGCACCTGGTTGCGTTCGGTTTCTAACCTAAACTATCTTGTGTCCTTCGTATATAGCTTTTAGCAAATGTGACCACTCGTTACATAGATTGTCCACTCAAGCCTAAATTCGCCGTACACTGTTCCCAATAACGTGCAAGCTTTGGCGCATCGAGCGAATTCTACAGGTCAGGCACTCCTGCGTGTCACAATTATGGCTCTGGCCACGAAATAGCTCATCAAATATAAGATCAGCAGATGAAATCTACAAGGTTTGTCGTTATCGGCTCAAATGGCGCCATTCCTATTATAGTGACAACGTAAAGCCGTTGTTTAATCCACCAGTTATTATGTACTCCAAACTTGGGTAGCATATTAAGGATTTGGATGAAATCAAACAAGATTATCTCCGTTAGAGTCTTATGCATTGCCAAGCGCCTAGTGGTTTCCTAATACCTAACATTGTCAACCATCGTTTTCTTTTGTGACTAGTTTGAGGTGCGGTTATTTAGTACACTATGCTTGTTGCGAACTTCAGCATATTTGAATCTGAAATTTTACATTAGTTCACCAGTTATCTAGATATAGTTCAAGCCATTGAGGGTTTCACTAGCCACAAATCAATGAAATACACATTAACGTCAATAAAATAACACTGATTTCAATGGATTACGTACCGGCTCCACAGGCGACGAAATGTAGCAGCACAAACAACGCTTGACGCGAAGAAAAACAAGCGGGCGGATGTATTTTGAATTCGAAACCACCAGTAACCACAAAGCTACGTGCCGAAAATGGCGCCAATTTCAAACGTATCAAGCCGGGCAGACCATCAAATTAAAAAAATTGATGAACAAGAGAGCATGTTCGTCATGGCAGTTGATAGTTCATGGATGGATTATGGTGATTCATAGAATTCATCATATTTCGACTTTTTTTGTAAAATCAAAAAGGTAGATGCTAGACAGTTGGCATCCTCATTAGGCCATGACAGCGAAACTGCCAAATATATATATAGCCTTTTGTTGATATTATATATGATAAAATAGTTTTCAGAGACTTGACTTTCTATCGTCTCTCTATTTCAGTAGTTGCTATGCATCAAGACGCCATCGAGTCGATGGCCGGGTATTTGCATTACTGCTATTGTATGTTTATAAACACAACTTGGCTGTTTTAATGTGTGCGGCTTCGAGAGTTTGAGTTGGAAATGATGAAATGTTGCCTTATGTCGGCTTAGAAGATGCATGAAAGTAAGTTGTGCTTTTTGCCTTCATTAAATACCACGTGCTGACGGTGGCTAATAAGTAGGCGTAGTCGGTTGGGGAGCGCTGTCTAAAAATAAGAAACTGTAAATTTGACTTTGATTTCGTTAAAGTGTCAAGTGTTGCAAGTACGCAATCAAGGGAGTCCATTAAAGCGTTGTCTGCTGGTTACGTTCTGCAAGATGGCCTCGACCTACGCAAATACTCTGATGTCAAAAATTGACGATTTTAACTTTCCATTCTGCGATGATATCAACAAATATGAGAAAGTCACCAAGATCGGCCAAGGGACTTTCGGGTAAGCTAAACCTTTTACACTAGGTAATTAAATGATTTAGAAAGAATATAATAAAAACACAATGAATAAACCATGTTTTTCCATTCCAAAATCATCCGATTATTGTCTTGTAACGTAAGAAACGACGTTTCGTATACCGACTTTTTAATATTATACGTTCCTATTAACGGTCTTAGATAGTGTTTCCTGAATAGGGCAGGACATAGCCCTAAATAAATTTAGTAACTCGAGATTTGTTCTTTAATAGACGAAGACAAAAAAGCATAAAACTTACCCCCAAAATTTCCAGAGCTGAAACAGCCGATGTGAGTACCTACCTATACAGAAAATAAAAAAGCTTACTTGAGATTATTAAAATTATTAAAAAAAAATAAAACCTACAGTGATTATCATTAACGCCGGACATACATTCCATGAAATCCTTGTCAAGGAATCGATAAAAAATAGCATACTGTTTAGAAAAAAAATTAGGTGTATTCATTACAAGGAGTTAGTCATAATAATGGCATGGTCGCTTTGCAATGAAAAAAATTAAAAAATAGTTATTTAATTGTGGTGAAGAAAATGAGGCAGTTTTACTGCTATAATTTGTCTATCTTAAACAGACGCAACTTTTTATGTTTTTATGTTGCAAATGCGTTATAATGAACACTAATAAAAATTAGTAGAACGTGACGTTAGAAGCGACGTTAGAAAATTCGCCTTGATTACCTTGTAATTAAATGACTTTCAAAGCGTGATTAAATGTCAGTTCGCACGAAATTTTGTTATATGGATAAAATGTCAATTTGTACAGCATTTTGTTATGTAACTTTTAGCTCCTCAATTAAATTTAAAAATTTCTTTAGTTAGCTAACCAAGGAATTTATAAGAATTTTAATGCAGAATTGTACTATTAGCCTTGGCTCGCAAAAGAGCTCTAAAAAGTCAACAACTTCCCTAGGACCTTATTTGCATTTTCCGAAATGGGCGTTAGGTGGATCTGCGAATCTATATACTGAGCTCTTCATCTTTTTTTTTTTCAATCGTTAATAATACTGTTGTCTTAAACGTACAATATTCTAAAAAGTATGCTTTGATTTTAGGGAGGTGTTTAAGGCAAAGCATCGCCAAACAAAGAAATTGGTCGCTTTAAAAAAAGTTTTAATGGATAATGAGAAAGAGGGGTTTCCCATAACGGCACTTCGGGAAATCCGTATTCTACAGCTACTTAAAAATGAAAATGTAGTCAATCTCATTGAGATATGCCGTACCAAAGGTAAGCAGTAGTATACATCTTTTTTGCTAGCAGATTTGAAGGTTCATCAAAATCTGAACTTTTAGATCTAAGATTTTATGTTCTCGCAGTTACCAGAAAACTGGGTAAACTGCCTATATGTACGATAGAAGATCCAAAAAGATTTTTTAATAGACCTTCGTTCAGGGGTTTTGGTGAAACGCTGTAAATCACATATGAAAACGCTTGCTAATTAAAACCGTCCTTGTTAAAAAAATGTTTCAGAGACTTTATACGATGCTATTTTTAGATGACATTTTAGATGAAACAGATTACTTGTACTATTTCTTCGGATTCATTTGTTAGTCTGTCATTAATTTAGCAAAGAAAGATAAATGAATGTTAAGCGGCATTATGGTAACTGCCTCTCATTACAGCGAGTTCGGCGAATCAGTGTAAAGCGACCTTCTATCTTGTGTTCGATTTCTGCGAGCATGATCTGGCCGGACTATTAAGCAACGTTAACGTGAAATTCTCTCCCGGAGAAATAAAAAAGGTAATAAAAAAAATGGATTTGACGACGCTCAAGAAGGACTTGTATTTTTAATCAAATCAGTGGGTTATTTTTGGGCTTCGTAACCATTAAGTAAATATCCATATTCCTATGTGTCTTTGTGCGCGTGTTTTCGGGTTTCGGATGACGAATAACCAGGTGATGCAACAGCTGCTCAATGGATTATACTTTATCCATGAAAACAAAATCCTTCATAGAGATATGAAAGCGGCAAATATCCTTATCACGAAGAATGGTGTTCTTAAACTTGCCGATTTTGGTCTCGCACGAGCGTTTAGTCCACCAAAAAAGGACATGCCGAATCGGTAAGTATGATTAAATATCATAAATTTACCTAACTAACAAAAAACGCAAAATTGTCTACCTAAACTTGGCCTTGTTTTTCTCCATCTCAAGCAACTTTAAAGGAACACAATACTTTACGTACTGTAATAATAACATTAATGTTACTGTTGAAACAACATTTTGCCGTTCCAGCTATACCAACCGTGTTGTGACGCTATGGTACCGTCCTCCGGAACTTCTTCTCGGAGAACGCAATTATACAGCCGCTGTTGATATGTGGGGAGCGGGATGCATTATGGCTGAGCTGTGGACACGAACACCGATTATGCAGGGGTCTACAGAGCAATCTCAACTCACTCTTATTGTGCAGTTGTGTGGGTCCATCACTACCAAGGTAAAAGAGAGACAAGATCGATAATTTTAAGTTCTTTTTTTACGGTGCTTTAGTTGTTCGAATTCGAACATGAGAACTAATGTGCACATTGCGATTAAAAGTCGTTTTATATTGCCAACCAAAAAAGATGATAGATCATGTGATTCCATGGACTGAACAAAAATAATTTTCTGTGTTCACATAGATGTAGCGTTTATACAGTTAAATATAATCATACGGTTCTACGCATCCCCCCATAAATCGTGTATTTATTGTAAGTAAAGCGTATTAATGTAATGCACTTAATTGACGTTTTTGGCGCTTATGATTTGTTAACTTAGGCGTGGCCAAATGTCGACAAGTTGGACCTATATCATAAAATGGTGTTGCCGAAGGACCAGAAACGAAAAGTTCGTCAACGCCTCTCGATGTATATCAAAGATCAACTCGCGTTGGATTTAGTAGACAAACTGCTGACGTTAGATCCCGCAGAACGAATAGATGCAGACAATGCTCTTAATCATGACTTCTTTTGGACTGATCCTATGCCCTGTAAGAAACGACAAAAACAGTGTCAATTGTATATGATTGAGAGTATAGTCTCACCGTTACGATTAGTTTCATACCTCAGACTAACACATAACAAAAATATTTGGATATAAATGCATGGGGTGCTGGAATTTGTTGTTCTGTTTTGGAAGCTGAAATTGTTTCGTAGTGCCGAAACAAGCTGTCTTCAAAGTTGTGAGTCTTTAATACGTTTACTTAGCGTTATGTGACAGTTTAAGGCAGTTGACAACACGCAACTTCCAAAACGTGCATTCAGATTATATGGGGCCTTAGTACAAAAATTTCAAAACCACATCATAATTACGAAAACGACAAATAGCACAGTGCGGTTCCCTTATTCTTAGCTGCGTTCGCTGTTTGCCCCGATATCTTTACAGCCGACCTCGGCAAGATGTTATCACAGCACGACAAGTCAATGTTCGAGTTTCTGGCTCAAAGTCGACGGCGTCAACAGATGGCTCAACCGCAACATGGCGGGCATCCACAGCATCATCAACGGCATCACACGGGAGGACAACAAGGTCAAACTAACAACAACAACAATAACAATGATGGACAGTATCACGACCGTGTCTTTTAGAAGAGAAATCACAAAAAAATTAGTAAACAAACACAGCATTAGGTGTCGGTCTTCAGGAATTTACCTGGAGCTCACATCGGTTAAATGTTCGCGAATTTGAATTTGATCGGCGAGACGTTTAGTCTAGGAACGAGTTCATAGCAATTTATGAGGCATTATAACTAGAGACGTGGATTGATTTTAATAACTAAATGTTTTCATATGCAGACGTATATAGGGCTGAGCTTTGAGAGAAAATGTAAAGAAATGTAGGGATGTACATTTTCTTAATCTATGTAGATATTCCTTCGAACTTAATGGACTGTTCTTGCTACATTATTGTTAAATGTACCTCTATATATAATGACTATAATGCAAAAGAAACTGTGAAGCGCTTTTCGAAAAAATAAAAAGATTTACCTCTTATGATTAAGGGATTGTTATGTACGCGGGAAGGGATTGTTATGTACGCGGGATGGTAACTCACAGTGATTTAATTATACTGATTTTTACTTTTGTAACAGAAAAGTAGATTATCATTTCATGATTGCTAACATTAACCTTCCAAGTTCTATCGGATTCGTAGTAACGACATGAACGACCGGCTCTGGTGACCTATTTCGTCGAATTCCGACTATGCAGACAATCACTTCATCCAAGCAAAAAGCGCTTCATTTATCCAAACGAACATGATCATATACCAACACCGTACACCACGGATAATTGCTAGTCTGAAATACAGGTTACATGCTGTTAAGAGTAAGAGTAAAAGGCGGAGAAAGGAAGAAAGACCGAGAGAATGTTAAAAAATGAATTGGGAAAATGCTAAAAAAAGAATTACGATTAACGAGGCTTTCCGGACAAAGTGTACATATATGTCCTCATATATATAGACGCTGTGTACTAATAATGTCACATACTACAGTGCTCAATTAATGTAAAGGTGATATAGGATTGCATTGTAACAATCCTGCTCTTTCAGATTGGCTGTGTAACAGAAGAAAATTCCATTATGTGCACGAAGATTATGTGGTCTAAATGCTTATCAGTTCATAATGACACAATAGAAAATAATAAAAAAGCTAATATCTCATTTGCTGTCTATATAGCAAACACACACTGTTCACGTGAAGTATTTCGTGCTAAGACGCAGTGTAAGGTTCTGGCAAGCAAAATAAATCTTGAATTTATATCTATTTTTATTATTATTAGTGCTTCTAATATAAAGTACAAATTATGCTCTGCTTTGCTGATATGCGTGTGATGTAAATAAATGCGTGTGATATATATTGGTGAGTTTACAGAAGAGAATGTTTCTTCTAGTAGTAAATATGGTCATTTTTGCTATTAGAGTGCTCAAGGCAAGAGTAAAGATGGTATTTTAAGATGTTTATAAAAATATTTCAAAATAGTTCAAAACAGCTAGTTGTATAGTCATATACTCATATAATATATAGTCTTAGAATAGAAAGTTCCTGCGACGTTAAAATAAATATGTGAATCTGTCTAATTATATGTGTTCAAATTCGGAAAAAAAATTCAAGAAACTTACTTATAATCTCCAAACGGCTATTTTGTACAAAACCTACCGCTACAAAAAAACCTCTTTTAAATTTGAAGACTGAAAGCGACACATAGTATCTTCACTTGATATTGGAAAAATTTCAAACAGCACATTAAGATTAGGTCTAGCCGGTTGAGTAGGCTTGAAGCCCTAGGTCTTCTACCTCAGAATTCGTGAGCTTGTATTACAAATTGGACTGCTATATTCCATAAATTACAAGATGAGTGTAGCCATATTGAGCACGATTTTCTTAAGATAACTGTCATACTTAGCTTAATAAATTTCTTTGCGACAAACCTGTAGTTACTTCACTGCTGGCATACAACTGTTTTGTTATAATACCATAATTTGCCTACATAGAATTATTTCTGTTGTCTTACTTTATCTGATCATACCTGCAGTGAAACGTGATATACTGTGTAAGCAGTTTTAAGCATCGCGTCAGAGGCGTGCAATTTCGCGTAACGCCAGAGAAACTCATTTTCAACAACTGATTTTACTAATGACTGAGAGCTCCTCAACAATAACTAAGTTAATAATGTATGTTACGAGCATCTATCAGCGATACTTGCATCTGTCAAATTCCGTGTTCAATGACTCAGACGGAAACCTGACATCTAGTATTTGTAGCAGAAAGAGGATTATTCGATTTATTCCTGATACATTAAATTGCGTAAATCCACATCTACTAAGCAACACCTTGAGTATTAGGAACTTCAGAATCATTCCTCCCAAATCTTTGGGCAGCGCGATTTCTTGAACTACACTCGAGGGTAGTCGAACGAGCCTGCCGGCCCTTCTCCGCGATTAACATCTACACCTGCATAGCTCGCATTCCAAAGTTCTTTACACGGAATATGATGTCAGGAGCAGTACTCTTCTTCTCGTGATAGCTGTGATGTATACGGTAGAGTAGGGCTCAAACAGAACCTGACAGAAGATAGAAATATTCAGGTATTCCACATATTTTACTTTTTACTGTTTATTCTGTTTCCCTTATTGTTGACCGCATTTGACAATGGCGTTACCGGCCAAAGTTTTCCTTCTTATTTTGAACGTTATTTGCTATCAGTTGTACAAGACTAAAAGTACGAATAAATTAACAATGAGTACATGATCTAAAGATCGAAGTCAAATAGTTACGTCTGTGTTAAGCTTTCAATGCCGGAATCAGACGTTGCTTATGTATTATTTAGTTTTAATTAACTCGATAGAAGTTCCCGATTTTTTGCGCTTATCGACAGCCTCCACATTTCTTAGCAGTCCCGCTTTCACTACTTAGTGCATGTTCTACATAATATGGACCACTGTTCTCACCCAATAAACACAACATGCGTTTTTTCATAATAATATCTTGTCTAATTTATTATCATCCTTTTCCATCCAGTGAATGAATAATGCGAGTAGCAAAAAACTTTCGAACTATTTTCCATTGTTGTCTCTTCGTGTATTGCTAACACCAGCTTACCCGTAATTCACAACGACCAATATTCAGTAAGAGAATCATTATCTGTTACTTTGTTTTTATAATTTAAATTACATAATAACAGGGATCAAATGACTACGAGAGTAGACGGAAAAACTGTTACATGACTTAAAAATTAAGCGATTGTCAATTTTTAATAAAGTCCCTTACTGTAACTTTTACGTTTCCAACTGTTAATAATAACTGTGTGATCAGATTGTAAAAAAGCTACGTTAATTATAATGTTTAATACTATGAACAAACACATTTTTCTGCACATATATTAATATCAATAGGTAGAATATTTAATTAAAAAAGTTTTACCCGAAAATATATGACTGGTAGGGATTGTGAACTGAGCGCGTACGTATATGGCGTATTCTATGTTTTGATCGTACTGCTGCTTCTTTTTTTTGTATACACATCCATGTGTTTGTAATGACTTGGATAAACCAGCTGCCCAAGCTATCGTATTATTTCAACATGCTTCGATGATACTATTTCGAGCGCCCCCCGCTTTTAGTATTTTTTATTAACATTTTTTAGATAATTCAGGTTCGAGTCAACAGATAATAGGGTTCGATAACGCACTCAACCATTACTTTTCTTCCCATTACATATAGTGTGTCCCCTGTGCAGCCTCTATCAGAGGCAGTAATTGACAATCAATAATTTTTGTTCTAATGAACTCAGGCTACGCGCGTAGTTATAAATGTAGCGTAACTACTCTAGCATTTCTCCTTGCACGACATCCAAATAACATTCGTTTCATTCATCATATACTTTTTCCATGACCAAACACATTAAACAACGGTTAGGATAGGAAGCACGAAATAACTATAATAACTGTAATCTTGATCCATCGCTCCGTCCCCTACGCATGGCCAGCGTACGTCATTGCATTGCTGTTTTTCTTCATAATTATATGCATTAACTTTAATTTTATCACTCATCACATTCATACCCCACTAATGAAGTAGTCTCCATTTTTCAGGATTTTAAAATCCCGTGCGGCTGCTATCCACCAGCTTAAGAGGCTTGATGTGCACTACCAATGCACTTCATGTTCCTATCCAGTTATCCATAATAATTTTATTACAATTATAATAACCACGTCATTTTTGTTGATTATGACATCAGCACAACAGCGAGACTCTTTCACACTGATGGTGCCCACCTATGCGTTTTTCGGTTTCGTTAATCAGGTTAAGTATTGCTTGCTGCTCATCCTGCTGAATTGCGTCGGCACTAACGCGTAAGCATAAAAATCGTTTGCTTCTGTCTCCATAGGATTTAGAACTCTCCTCGAGACGTACTACTTTCTGTGCTCGTATGAAAGGAAGACGCCGGAGATTGTTCTCTGTGGAGCGACGATGCGGTTGATCCTTCTATCGAAGAGCTTGTTAGCGGCAAGTGATTACCCCATTGAGCTATAACGTTCTTGAGCTGTCTGAATACCGTCTGCATGTTGTCGAGGCCGCCGACGGTCCGGTCGACCAAGCGGCTGACCTCTTCCAACTGACGTCGATGCCGAACCTTTCGTTGTGATGGGGACAAAGAACCAGACGAATCAGGTTAATTTTGCATATTTGAAAGTGCAACTTGGGAGGGCATCATTAATAACAGATATTTTTTGAGTGCAGTAAAGCAACATTACTATTTGCTAACGCCAAGCCTCAACAAGCCAATCTATGGCAAGGAACAGACCTGGCTTTGTTCGTATGCTTTCTTCCACTGCTCGATCGTAGTTGGCGGACGATTACTGAAATCAGTCGGTTCTAAGGTATCACCCTGATCATTGTGTGACCAGTATGAATACAACACATAGCCGTTGATGGTGAGCAGAACTGCAATGACTACAGTCAACACCTTGAGAAGCATCGTCGGGTCAATCCATTGACTAACCCACCTAGTGGGCCACGTAGCAACATCTGGTCCGATAATTTTCCTGTCGTTGCACCTGGCCGAAACACCGCTTTGTCTCGAGGGGAAGGCGGGTGATATCGATGGAGGGGTTTGCACGTCTGAGTCAACAGAAAAAAGCATGCCATTACTAAGTGAACTGTGCACAATGAGACGAAGACTGTCGTACTAATGGTTTGATCCATCACTGAGTCCTTTTTGTATCCCGAGCAACTTAAAACTCACCAAATAGGTTTTTTTTTAGGAAATGTGTGATCTGGTATGCATCGAGTGAAAAAGCACTTACCTAAGGTCAGGGGGGGCGGAATTCGTCCGCTATCGCTAACGAGTCTCTCCACTTCTTTGTCCAAAGCTTTCTGAAGGTCGGCCACATACTCAGTAACTCCCTGATGCATGTTCTTTTCAATCATACTTTTAATAAATCCCCAAGGTGGTTTACGGAAGTTGATCTGCGCGAACACTTGTAATCGGCAACGGTTCTCGCCTTCACACCGTAAACAATAATGCTGCTGCACCACAAATGCGTCCGCGTAGGGAATTCCCTGATTGGAAACCTATGTAGTCACACAGTTAATCATTAATAATAAGATAACACTAGGATCAAGCCAAACCCCAAAGAGGTTTTTCACAAATGGCCTTTCGGTTCTTAATAAGTACGATCCTTTGATTTCATTTAACCTTACGTTTACTAATCGATAGCAAAAATACGTCGTTGAATACTCGGTACGTATACTTTAACTTTATGCATATACAAGTGGATAGGTATCGAATGCATTTCATAGGGTGTATTCATCGGTTTGAAGAGCTTCAGGCACGCAGGTATATGCATCCGCTCATATATTATACTAACTTCGGCTTGAATAGAGTACATCTTGCCGGGCTTAGACTTCCGATGTAAACTCTGCGTTTCGAAAGAAGTACAACTTTTGGCCATGGCGTGGTTCAAGGTGACGGTATATGTAAGGTTTCTTTTTTGTTTGCATTGGCCACCTCCAGGGGAATTCGGTGCGTTACCACCTTTGTCAGATCCTGTTTCTCCGCCTCCTGGGACCTGCTTATCCTCGAGTCGCTCCCAGTTGCCAATGGTCATATTTGAAGTTTTGCGACCTGCTTGTAGATCTTGATAAAACTCAGATGCTAAGCATTAAAAATGAAAGAATAAACAAAAAGAATTAAGGTCAATGGTTTCTATCAAATGCAAAATAAAAAACATGATAAGTCGCCGAATACAGAAAAAGCGGACATCATTTACATAGCTAAGGTAACGAGTGATGTAATAATGATAACATTCCCATTGCGGATTCATCACGAACGGTTTCTGGGGTTAGCTGGGAAGATATAATTATGATATGAAACACCGACGTTCGAACGCACACCAGCCTTAATAGTAGCATTATATTGTTGACTGAGACTTCGACAGAGCATATAATTATAGCCATTTTTAGTTGTTCTTAAGCGGCACTTTCTAAACAATGTTTCTGTCACATATAGTCTAATATACAGTAGCGTAGTAACATACCGGTAAATATGCATGTGAACAGGTGATCAATGTCCATAGCAAATGACTTGTCCAGGTACTGCGTCATACCGTCGTGACTCTCAGGACACTCTAGTATTTCAGAGTCTTTGTCAGGCGAGCCTCCGTCTTCATCCAATTCTTCAGCAGAGGACGCTGAAGACTTGGCATCTTCCGATACGACGGCTGAAGACGTACCTGACGTCTTCGCAGTAGTAACATTAGCCAAAGGTCGAAGCGATGGTGAATCGGGTTGAGCTATTTCACTTTCATCTATCGGAATCTGCCGCCATTGAATAAATTGTACACCACAGGGAACAGCAAACACCAACATTGTAATCTAGTAACATCTATCGTACAGTTCTAATGGCAGATTTCAATTATGTTTTGGTAAAACTGATCAGATTGATAACCGCGCGGTTGACCAATATGGTAGATGGCGGGGGGGAGATCCAGCTCTAATATATAATAACCTACACATGCTAACAACCACAAGTTGTTAACATATGCAGTAAGTGGTTTGTGGTTAAACTGAGCGTGTCCCAATTAGCGCAAACGAATGGGCTAGCATAGCAAGTATTTTCAGTGAAGGCCTCACGTTACGTTAATTAATAATATAATAAAATAATCTACCCAAAGCCATATACTGGATTATAATTTAATATTGTACTAATACTATATGCCGATAAACAACGCCTCTCCTTTGCGATGACAAATATCTGACTCGTGTCACAGTGCTATTTAATCGCAAATCCACCGTCATCACTCGTGGAATTGAAGTAAAGAGACTTGATAATGCCTTTTTCATATATTTCATATTTTTCTTATATCGACATATTTGTCCTTTAGTGAACGAAATCTACAAAGTGATTTTTCTGCCTTTAGCTGATGATCATGTCATTGTAGGCATATTGTGTGTCAACTTCAGCAAATTGAAAGCAAAGACAGAACTCAGCTTAAAATATTTTCGGGTTATATTTAATCATATTTTCTTCAAAATACACGATGCACTTAAAAGTTACGCACTTTTAATGAAGTAAACATAGTGATTCGTTTTTAGCGGAGAAGTGGATTATTCATAAAAGCAATTGCCGAAATCTGCTCTTTAAAACATTGACTAACTTAAATAAATATTAGATGAATATTGGAGTTTCATTAGGAAGAATTATAACGAATGCGCTCCTACTAGAATAATCGAGAGACACCAGAATCTTTAAAGCAGAAATAGCCTTGTAGTCTTCTTTGTAGTCGTCAAAAAATTCTTAGATACCCTAATACCTACTTCATATAAAGCCGGTTCATTTGAGCCAGAACCATATTGTCTTCCCAAAAGCCCAGTCTGCAAAAACCACCCATATAATATCACACCTACAAAACCTACGGATATCTCGCTACGAAAATTTAACGATTATATTAGGCTGAACTAACTAGATAGTACAAGGGTTTATCTACTAACCTCTGCAAGGTTTTTTACGTCGATGGCCTTAACATTATTGAGATCATCAGGAGCGATGTAGTCCATTTCATCATCCGTACTTAAGCCTAGCTCATCGCCGTACCTGTGGTGCACCTGTGAATTGTCACGGTTGACACCAACATCGACAAGGTGATCATTGGACGCATCATAAATCCATGGGAGATCCACACCCTTCAGCATCATAAATCTTTGCATTTTCCGCCCGGTTATTTTGACCATTTTAAGAAATTTTAAGTAAGAAACACGAATAGTTTGCGATCCGCGTATTCGGTCATCCTTACGTTTTTTCGCTTGAATGGAATTCTGGTGCCTTTTCTGTTTATGTTCGGGCTGTTTTTTCTCTTTTTTTATCATATCGTTTATCCTGCCTGAAAACCTTGTTAATGGCGACGTACCATTTTCGCGATTTGAACAAGCTTTGACTGTTTGCGCTTTAAACGATGTTTTAGGTTCTGTCTCCGTGCTTTCACTTTGCTCACTACGTCCTAGACAGTAGTCCTCGCGTGGAAAGGCACATTGTCAATCAATGCGTCGCCAACCAATAATTTTTAAGGTATCTATCGTAGCACGAAGAGCACTTGAATTTGTTGTTGACATATGCATCGATGAACAATTAAGTACCACAAAGTTTATGGGAACGCGCAACGTCCGACTAGCGGAGCTTTTACCAAAAACGGGACATTGATTTAGGGCAAACCCACTGTGGAATATATTCATAATCAACACTTCATTCCCAACCTACTGTGCTCCTCTGCTGTGGTACATATTGATCTATATTTTGATATAAAATGTATCCAAATTGCTTCGGGGCAGTTCTCACATCACAAAAAACAAGTTCACTAGCAGAAGAAGCAGCTATACGAAAGTAATTTCATGTTCCTGGGTCTCGAAAAGACATTGGCCTTCTAACATACAACGACTGAGCACAGACTCACACAGGCGCTTCTCTAAGCAGCCGTAGGGTAAGTTAGGGATACAATAGCTAAGCCACACAAATACCTTGTCTCGCACATATGGATCTGCTTTAAGCGAAGGTCGTCACCAATGAGAAGCTGTTAGGAGGTTTTATAATCAGTATTGAGTTGTGGTCGAGCACCGCAGAAAGCATCGACCGCAGAGATAATACAATATGTGTATACTATGCCCGTTGCCCTTTAATGTTACGAGAGTCGACGGAATGGTTGTAATGAAAAAAAAAAAACGCACAAGAGATTTGGTCTACGATCAAGCAGCAGAATGGTTCTAGGAGTCGTAAATAAGCATTCCTTATTTTACGATGCAATCAGCAGACTGCGTTGCTTTTAGATAAAGGGTAAGTCTTAACTATAAAAACAGTTGATGTTCTGAATATCCATGAATGTGTACTTTATACATAGACCAGAGCGCACAGAAAGAAGTATAGCATTGACAGATGTCTATCGCATATAACGTATTTGTCTCTATTTGTAAATACACTTTTAAATAATTTATTTAAGAATCAGGCAGCTAAAGTCAGCCGATTCGGGAGATTACCGCTGCAGGTTAAAGTCTCTCAGTAGGGCATATATCCTAATAAATAAGACATAGGAAGGATGAAATAAAACGGACTCCAAGATGGACTCGAAACTACTAGTAATAGATGGCAATCAACACAATTGCAGTAAACGTGGCAACTGATGACAGTCAGGTCAAAAGAAGTTAATATAGATTCATAGTTTTCAGTAGAATATATACAAATACGATACAACGGTAAGCAACGATCAATGCAAAAGTACGTTATGACTGTAAATGAAGAATAGAATGATGAGTGAGATAATGGCCTGATTCATGATTAATCTGCTGATGTTGGTCGTGTATCACAATTGAAAGTCACGTCTTGCTAGTTTTACTTACCAAACGCCAACATTCTCTGTTGCTCATCGGCTGTGCAAGAAGGGCATTCTGCCAAATGCGGAATAACATTAGATAGGTTTTATCACGGGCCGCGAACGATGTAAAGAAGTACCTCTCGTTTTCCGTCTGGCAGACGATAGCATTGGGGATGACCTGAAATGTCGCCAATCAGCAACAACAACAGTACAACAATGGCGTCCAACGAAATCTAAACACGTATGCATACAATGCACACCTTCGTGCAGATCAATTAGGTATTTTGTCTACTCCGGCATTAAACAGCATATAAAGGTTGTCAGGTACTACGATTACCTGTGTGCCTATAGCAGCTATCCCAAGTTATTTAGTTTTACTTATTAAGTATTTAGGGATAGAACTCTGGGCCAGAGAAGATGTTGAGCATTGTTTTTTATATGTTGAATATACTTACCATATGGCAGATATCGGATAATCCACGTAAATACAATCGTATCCAAATAATCTCAGAGTGTAACTGTATAATTACTAAAATCTTCTAACTGCCAGTGTACATGGTTTTATGGTACTACTTGGAAGAAATATTATACACTGGACCATTTTTCACTGTTGTATGTTGGGCGTTGATTATTGGCATAGGCGATTTTAGCTAAGCCAGCTATTTATTTAAGGCATTTGTCTAAAAGGTGAATGTTTTGAATTTTATAACTTGTGCCTACGTTAAGCATTGCTTTAGATAAAACAAAACATATGTTTAACATCTCAAGTGGACAGTTAACGTTATTCAGGCATCGTGAATATTAACCAAAAACAATCCGTGTCTTTGTTATTGCTATGTAACGACTACAATATAATAGACAACATCAGTCACTTTCGAATAAGCTTTTTTGCCTGACTAATCACATTATTGAACTACAGTATGACCACAGGAAGAACGAGGCCTGTTTAAAAGGAGAGTAATAGTACCATCAAGATCTATTGAAGGTGGCTGCCTCCTTCACCTTATTGCGTATACGACCAAGGTAGACCTAACATTCGGAACAAAGCGTATAATGCGTCATTTAGCTCAGATATTTGGGAATCTGAAAATGTCTTTCCGCTCATAATAAATCGATAACTTTACAACAAGGATATTCCGTTTCGATTGATTTATGTGCTGCTGGCGGCCGTTTGGTTTCTCGTACCTAGCTAATAGATTAATTAAGGCTCATCAATTTGTGGTGAAAAGACGCAACTACGATGCTGGTCTATAGTCACATACCAACGCGGTTTTCTCTTTTGTCATTGAGGTTAAATCTTGACATTTGAGGACGACGCATGTCTCCCATTTGAAGATGTTCGCGTAAAAACAAAAGAAGTTTTGAGAGACATAAAGACGCCCGTGCGCCAGAATATCCCTTTGTAAGGCGCACGAGTAATCATCTATGAGCATTTCCGTCTCGGGAACTCCTTCCTTGGCAAACAGTCGACGAAAGTCCGCGCATTTCGACTTGTACGTTGGAGAGATCAACTGCAAGAACAGGCATAAACGGAAAGGCTGTTTGTGATAAAGGCAAGTGAAAAGTCATTTTAGAAATTGCATAGTATCTTTCGCATTTTTCATATATTATAAGAATCAAATATATGGTATACTTGTGCACATACATACAGGCAGATATCAAACAAAAGAAATACTATAAACCTGCACGAATGTAACACATGATGATATTTTTTTTATTTCATTCATATTTCATATGTCAGACAGACGTGTATTTGCTACAAACAGTATTTTTTTAACATCTAAAAATAGTTAGGGGAATATTGGCTTTTTAGCTAGATAAATAAATGTTTCGGGTTTTACCCCCAGTACTGCTTTTCAATACGACACGAAGTATGGTTGCATTTGAACCTAGACCACCACATATCGCTAAGCTTAGCATGCGAACACAGTATCGTTACACAACTATGCAAACTTCGTATTTTCATTTGAAAGAAGTAAAAAATTCTAATTTAAGTCATACGAAAATACGTTACAGTCAACTTAGTTTACTTAAACCCATGAATTTGACATAACTCCAAAACGGATTTTAGGTTCGGATAGCCACACAGTTGTATTTCGATTGACAACAGTTTGCTAGTTTCTCCTTCATATCCCGTATCTTCCAGCGTTCCGTCGATCGGTCGTTAAACTTACATGTTGATACCAGGCTGGTTTTCGATTCTTCTTCGCTTTTTTCTTCACTTCAGGGGCCGGTGTCGATCCTGGAGAACTGCCTTTTCCGCCCGAACCACCCGACGTCTGAACGATTAAATTAAATATCATTGATTGTTATTTACGTTGTTATTGTACAGTTAGTTATTGCGTATTGTAAAGCGCAACTGAACACCTTCCATACAATCATTTTTATGGTTAAATTCCATCCATGATTTATTTACTTCAGTTGAAAATTACTATTTCGCAAAGCAAACATGAAATGCACGTTGGTCTTAACTATGATCAACTTATTTGCATGGTTTGAAATACTAGTGAGACATTACATACGTAAGATATATTCGCTCTCATACCGTTATTTATTTAGAGAGGCTAGAATTGTTAGAATCGAATATCATGCTCTTCCTGTAATGTTTCATCTATAGCCAGAACTAACGTATTAAGCTAGATTTACTTGAAGTCAATTGTGAAAACCAACCTGTGAAGGCTGAATAGAGATCGTGGAAGCCGATATGCTTGAGGGAAGCGTCCTCTCGGGAGGATCTTTTGATTCACGTCCATCCTTAGGCGAAGGATCATCTTTAACGTCTCCTCTAGTACCAATAGTAGAATTCTCTCTGCCTACGAGCAAGTGTGCCGGGGATTCATTACGTTCCTCGGCGAAATGTGTTTTATTGATGCAAAGTGCAGAACAGTCGAGAGGAGATTCTGTAATGGCCCATTAGACATCACAATATTTTGTTTAAGATTGATGGGAGCTTGACTTGAAAAAAATTACAAATGGCTTAACATTAAATAAGCTGTAATAGGCTTAGAAGGAAATTGTATTTACTGTTTTCCTGATTTGTGAAGCTAAAGCGGTACTTAAACCAATAAAAAGTTTTCGTTTCAAGCCTAATCGTGCTGTTGTTTTAAATTTTTGTTTTTTTTTGATACAGATCTGTATGGTCATCAGAACGTTAGTGATCTCAGTAGAGTATCTCTCTCAGATCTAGTAGAGAATATATAAATAATTTGATTTTACAAACGTTAAAATGGCAATTTGGAGAAGAGACAGCTTTTTGCACCAATTTCTGAGAAAGGCTGAAAAGAGCGTAGGTCTAGGCTGAGCCGTCAACCAGATACAAAAGTCGAGTTGCCAAATGTGTTGGTAACCCGGTGAAAACAATTAATCAATCTCGCGAGAACATGATTTACAAATTTTTGCTTGAACTAAACTGATGATCTTCGTTGCTGGGAACAGCACTATCGTTAAAAGCCCTAAATTGATTTTAGATATAACGTAACCAACCAGTAACAATGTCCTACCCGCTTCATTCAATGGTTGAGGTGTTTCCGGGCTGAGGTTGCTGGATAATAGGGGACCTTCGATTGGACTGGGTGCCCTCGTGTTTCCCGTAGAACGTGAATCTTGTCTCCGACGTCGATTTTCGCCATCGCAATCAGCGCCTGAAGAAGCGGAGTTTACGCTTTCGCCTTCGACTGAAGCGGGCGCGGAGGAACTTAACACCGGATCAGATTTTTTCCTGTAATTGCGAAGAAAAATTGCCTCAGGATGGAATTGTTATACCGTTTAAAAACAATACATCAAAATAGGTAGAATAAATACTTACTAAAATTGTATATGGTGTAGGGTCATAGCAAACGGCATTGTAGCTGCGATGGAACGCTGTTTAAATAATTGGCGCATTCAAATGATATGGAGCGAGTACACATAAAAGTTTCGCAAACATTTCATAGTGCACGTAAATTATGCATGGATCATATTGGATCATAAGAGCTGATTTGACATAACAAGATTTGTCCGTAGATGTGTTTAATAGAAAGCCACTGAATGCATGTTATAATAATGCATAATAATAACAATAATGGTAACATTGCAGAGGGAAACATAATGTAGTTTCTAAGAAGGCAATAGCGTATCATGTTTATACGTCTAATAGGAAAGGTTAAAATATGAATATTGCATGATATCGTATAGCCATTATGTGATTTAAAAGAAAAGGTTAAATATAATCGGCGAAAATTAGACTATGCCAGTGCTTAAATATTTTATTGATAACAATGTCAGTTAAATTTTTCATAGCTAACCACTAACTGCCCTTACTGTCACCTCACAAATATCATATTACTAGTGAAGCTCAAGAGACTTGAGGGCCGGAAACTATGAGTCATTTCAGGCCGGCAGTAGGCCAAGAATTCAAAACCTATATTTCTCCTATGACATACCTCAGTTCCGCTAAGCATATATTGAAATAAATTATTTTCGACCTTGGCTTCACTCGCCGATGATAGATCAAAACAAAGGGAATCGATGCAAATCAATCATTGCTTTGATTTTTTTTGCCTTCATATCGGTTCGTAGGACCCGTGAGTTTAGATACCGGAGTTTAAGCGACCGAAGTCGCGGAGTTGATGAATGAAAACGATTACCCTAGATTTTTTAAATGTTGTTTAGGACCCTGTAAAGCAACAGGGGAGAAATAAGTATTAAACATTTTCATGAACAAATGATATTAATCGTGTTTGCTGCAAACGTAACTATTCACGTTTCGATGACACATGCTTTTTTCAGGCTGATGAATACTTTACGACAACGGTTTATAATCATACGTGGTATATGACCAGGCCAAGGTTCCAGTTAAAAGCTGAACCTAACGTAGAAGGATCAATTAATCTAGATTAGAAAAAACCTACTTTATTCTAAGTGAGTAGCAGGCACAAAATTAATTGTTTACTCTTCGTAATTGGTAAGATAACTAATACGAGTGATACGCATCATAAATATTGTTGTTGAGTCCCTAATGATGTACATATGACTTTAAAATCTGTAGGCTGGATCTGATCAGTTTAGAAATCACCATTGAATCCAAGTAGGTGAAGTATCCCTGATACCATTGCTGCCATCCCTAAAAGTTTAGTTTACGAAGGCTTGGCCATTCATAGCTTTTAATTTATACAAAACTATGGCGAGTAATTAAAATAAGCCTTACGAAAAAAAAGTTCCCCATATAAAAAGGATATTAATACTGCTTTATTCTGAGTGAATAAAAGCTTTACAGAGCTTCTTTCAGCAAATATATATCGAAATGAACCCCATATTTGATTTATACGATAATGGAGGTCTTGAGGGGGTACATTGGGATTTTCGGAAGTAATGTTGCTTTCAGCGCTACTTTAATAAAGCCGTTGAAATGAATTTCTTACTTCTCAATAAAAGCCAATATCAGGATTCGATGCTGTGTACTTGCAAAATAGGTGCAACATTCATTTCCGTTTACCCAACTATAATCTGAGCAAAGTAACTCAGATACTATACGATTCAGAGTAATAGTGCACCGTTTAATTACCTGGGCGGTTTCTCCGGGATCTCTGGAGCTGAAGAGGATAGCGCTGTCGCTGGTGGAATGTCGATGGCAGAGGCAACAAGCGGCGCATGTCGTTGCTCTTGGCCTCGGTTACTATTAGTCGGTCTTGGTGCCGGTCCCAGGAAACTTAGGCCTTGAGCCCGGGCCTGAGCTAGCTTCGCGTTGGTGACTTGAGGAGATGCGAACATGACGCCGACCGCGGTTAAGCATGAGATTGTGTGAAGAGGGAAAGTTTATAGCTTCCCAGATGTGTATAGCTACAAAAACAGTAACACCTGATGTTCCAACAAGCTGACAGACATTAATTCAGCATTAACAGTGTACGAGCAAAGAGTGTGACGTTTTCATATGGAACAAGGCGCCACAGACTCCATTAAATTGCTCATCTCCTATACAAGCTGTGTGATTGTAAGTAGAGCGCTTTGTATTCTCTAACTCCCCAGGCAACTTCATTTGCAACTACTTTAGATTTATACGAAACAATGTCGCAATTTCGGTGCATTAAAAAATTTCATTATCAAAAATTTTCTGTTTAAGGTCCCAACGCACTCGCTAAAGCGGTATTTGGTATAACATAAGAAAATGGGTAAGCGTATTGGAATCACAATCTTGATTTTTCACTCTTGCACTGATAATCAGTAAAAAAAAAATAGTCCTCTGCGTGTCTTTTGCGTAAGTAGAGCGATATAAAATGGCACAATTCATGTAATTCACTGCGTCAGGTGTTTCCACTTGGTTAACTCTCTTGAGGCCCGATCTTTGCGCCAGCCATAACGCTAGATTACATAGTTATGTATTTCCTTTAGTTTTAGGGATGAGACAGGCGTCTTCTTAACTCTGTCTCAAATTTAAATAGATTGCTTCCCACGAGGGAAAGCATCTGGACACAGTATATACCAGCACAACACAAGAGTAGATGGTACTAGGTCGTGATAAGGGTGCTGATAGTGGTAACATGTAGCGATTTTTAAAGCGAACTAATTCACAAACAAGGATGAGTCCAAGACGTTGTCGCGTAAATATATGGCTTCAATAGCGAGCAGGCAATATTTTGGAGCAGGCAATAAAACAGAGCACCAGGTATGGCAGGTTAGTCGATTAGTACATTGTTAAAAATCAATGAAGTCGACATGAGGTTGAATTGGGATCGACCGAATGTGCAGTAGCGGGTACTCGATGATGAATTGATGTAGATTGCGTCTTGGCTTAGGATCTTGGTTGAAGGGGACGTGGTTGTTGCGATGACCCGGGGGATTCCAGGCGGGACACCGTGGGCCACTAGATCAGACCCCGATTAATCTGAAGTGGTAGCAGAAGTAGGTGGGGTGCACTTGTCACGGTACACTGACAAATCTGAAAAATAAAAACGAGTGACAACATCACCAACCATGCCGCCGAACATGGAAACGGTCAAAGCAGCAACAATAGCTAATACAAGGACAATTATACGGATACGAACCTTACTCCCTCTAGAAAAGTGAATCATCTGAGATTGCGTATTGTACTGTTAAACTGTGTGGTAACTCCTTATATTATATGATCATTTACTCGTAAAAAATGTTTAAAATAAAAGCTTTAAACACGCCTTGTTCAGTTGTTTAATATAGCTTACGCATAAGTCTGCACTCTTCATCTCTTATTAAGTACTGCGCATTCAGGTATATCGCAGATGCACTAAGCTCTTTGGTCCTACGTTTTACAAGGAGGCTAAAGCTAGCAACTCCGGAACCCAAAGTCAAAAATACAGCTCTTTGAGTGGTAGTATTTGGAGAATGCCCACTGACTCCTGGGCCATACATTTTGGTAAATATTATATTTTGGTAAATATTATATTGACGATAATTCGCGACAATAATCTTTAATACGATAGCTTAGGCAATGCTAAATAATAACCAGAGTCAACAATTTAATCAAGTAAATTTTTGATACAGTTTCGAAAGTTTTTGTCTTAGTATTCTCAAATGCACGTTGTTGTACGCACACAAATAGAAAAAATTTCGAGTTTTTTTTTTTGGAGATTGGACGGATTCGAGGTAGCCTATGCTGGCTCTCTCGAATATTTCACAGTCCATGTTCTGTTATGTAGAGAGGGTGAGAAGTTTTTATATGTAGTATTCAAATACTAGAAATTAGCTCGACACGTTATTCGTTCTCAGCGCTAAATCTATTTTATAAGAAAACAGATTCACACATGAAACGCCAATACAAGTTACCCAAACGAATACTGCCAACCTCTAGATCACTTTATTCATCTAAAAAATGTTGATATAGTGGACAGAAAAATAGGGGGTTGGTCAACAGACAAAATGGTTGATCGAACATTTTTTTAAGCTTAAACAGAACGCTAAAAAAATAAGGATAAGTATAAACACTTCGAAGCCTTTCAATCCACGTAAATCAGTGCCTGCCAATAATGTCGATGGCACATCGTCGCAATGGCAGATTGTTTCTTTAGAAAAAAACCTTATCTGTAAAGTAAGTCTCATTTTAACTAGGATAGAAAGAGGGTGGGGTGAGCGAGAAAGTCCAAAAAAGCTAAAAGCAAAATGAAACAATTACATTTCTACCTTGTCATTGACACGTACACATATACTGAAGCCCCAGGTACCCGAATACTAAACAAAGGTATATTTCCGTTCTTAACCAATGCTCTTCCATACACCGTGAACGAGCGTTTTGTATAACAGTATCTGAATCTGTCATAACAATAATGCTAGAAAAAAAGGAATCACCACCTGTTGTTACGGTAGTACACCGTTAGTCTTAGCGTAATAACCGTATTTATATACTTTATAAGATAGAAGCATTGGATTATGAATCGAGACTTTATCATTTGTTAATGTAATGAAGATTTATTGAAACTTTCTGTTATCGACGCAAATTCAGCTATTCTATCGAATAAACAAAGCATTTCGATTCATTTAAGTAAATAAGAAGAAATAATGCTGGATAGACAACTACTTCTTGTTTGTCTTTCTGAGATGTGTTGCGTCTTTTGAATCGTATACGATGATTAATCGTAGCCAATCGACCTTGCAGTACATGGATATGATGATCTCTTCTGAACGACTTTTTTCCACTTATTTAATTAGAATCAATCTAGGGACGGTCTATATTGAAAAGACGATTATTTATCGTTGTGTAATCTTGTTGAATGAATATGTAATAGCTAGCATCCGTATAGTGATTTTTTTTTTATTTGTTATTATTATAGTTCTGGTCGTTTATGGTCGTTACGTATTGCCAGCAGTAGTAACGTACATGTGTTACTTTGTTAATTTACTCGTGTGATAGGAAACCGCAATAAAAAATAAACAGACTAAATAAAATTCAACATAAATCAATCATGCTGAGTGTCGTTCATTGACTGACGTTCAGAAACCCTAAACCCTGGGAGCTGAACATTACATTTTAAAAACTCAATTATTTGTTTCTCACGAATATCATTGTATTTTCCACTGCACCTTGACTACGCTGTACTTATACGTTTGGTGACAGCATATCTTACATTAGTGGGGCTAAGGTCCAATTGAACTATATGTATGCTGAGCATTTTGCCTCATTGTCAAGCGAAGGTTTCTTAGATCACGTTTGACACGATAATGTCAATCTGGTAGGATATAATCGATGTTTAGGATAGTACGTATGCATACTACAAAAGCGATGTCAATTCTTTTGCCTTAAATACTAGGGCCACGGCTGTGCACTACTAAGTATCACCCAACTGGAGGATTTAGATCTTACTGATGGGTCACAAGTAGATTCTGGTTATTCTGCATTTTGTGCAACAGCGTAAACGAATCGAATCTTGTTAGGAAAACTAGTATTCAGCAAACGATAGCTCTTAATATTGCCTTTTATTGATAATTCTGACTGTTATCAGTGATGCACACCAAAATATTTTCAAATAGAAGAAATGTTTGTTGACGCTGCCAATTAGGCTTGTTTTAATCAAAGGCTTGAAGGACTAAACTAGATTCTCACAGCTAAATTTCGTTCCTAAGCTACTCGTGGGACACTGTAGAACTTTCACCCATTAAACGTTGAATCTCGTATCTTGCCAATCTGCTGTCAAACTAGCTTTAATTAAGTGTACCATATACGAATATAGTGCATGATCTTCATATGTTGCAGTTGACATTAGACTGATTTTGATTTTTTTTAAATATTCCTTGATTTTAGTACGATTCTTTTGTTTCTTATACATGTTTGCCATGACTATTACATAAGGTCAACTTCACTTACCAGTTACCACTATCGAAACAATTAATTCTTACCCAACATATATCCAGGTGCCTCATTTCAGTTTTGACCATATACAGGCACTGTCTTCTACATACCTTATCTATACCAAAAAGTAGCTGGCAAACATTATAGCTTTAGGCCAAACTAAATATATGGGCATATATTTATTCTTTTTTCTTTAAGTAAAAGAAGTATGATTTCGTAACTGACATAGCCATGGCCTAATAAATTATTATAAATAAATATATAACGTATACGTCAAATAAGAAATTTCATTACAGTACATGCTTAGGGAGATTTTAAGTGGTTCAATAGGATCCGCCTAAAGACTAACCGGATGTGATTCGTCTGCTAAAAGAGGCGATACAATATTAGCAGATGTCAATGGCTTTTCCGCTATTTAATTCATGAAACAGCCTATTTTTCTATAATTAATTAGGCTTCCTTGCTTATCTCATACAGATCCACACTGCACTCGGATTCTTCTGTCCTAAAATGACCGACGACTGCTGCCAGCACCTAACAACGTCGGCGATCCTCATGCGGATCTTCTATAGCTAAATCTTTCTAGGGACGTTTGCAAGAATTAGCTGCAGACATACGAACTCGATAACGTCCGAGTTGCTACACTATGAAACTGTTCGCACTATTCGTCGCACAATAACACCTAAGCCTGATAGCCTTCCGCAGATTCCACAGTCCTATAGCACTGCTTTGAATAGTCTTGTCTGTTTACACCGTCAAAAATGCTTAACCTGTACGCGTTTTTCGATCCCGTGTCAATGGCAATGGTACTCAAAAGGCAAATTTTTTTGATACGGCCTTTTCTTTTTTATTTTTGTTGTCGTTTTAGTGCTGCCCCACATTGTGAGTGACAACGTTCGTTTGAGACTGCAGTGGAACACGGTCTGCCGCCCCGCTTAAACTTGTTCTCGCACTCTCGTCCGCACAGCCGATCTACTCCTTACCGTCTTCCTTCGCTCACGGAAAAAGATTCTTGTAATAGTCCCTGCACCACTTTGCGTTGAGTCACCTAATCTCTACTGATATTTTTTGCTGGTGCCGTCCTCTAGCGACCGCTGCAGCGGTAGTAGCTATCATCAAAGCTGAAAGCGTAGGCAGTAATGGATGAGGCTAAGTAGTGAGCCATGTAGCGTCTCTGCTGGCATAGGAAAGGTCATCAGAAGCCGTGAGCAACACAGCTGATCGCGAACGAGATCACGCAATCACTGATTGATTGACTAACTCAGTGGCCGAGCGAATGGCTGGTAATTTTTCTCATATATACCGAAAAAATCTCTCGAAAGAGACGGAGAGAGAGTCGACGAGGACGGGGCCAGTACATAGCAAATCCGTATTGTGCTGCGATCGCATAGAATATTAACTACACAGATAGCGGATAAAAGGACACGATGGGATATAATCAAGAGAGATCTGCGATTGGCCCCAACGCGGCTACACTGCGCGGCTCACCATGAGACTTGACTGATTGGATTTTACTGGGGTAGAGCGGGTACTCACCCCATAGAGGAAAGATAGATACAGAGTTAAAAAGCAGATATTGCTGTAAATATCATCAGACCATTACGTGGATGCTGCCACAGATTGCTGGATGTGATCGATAACGGGAAGCATAGACTTATATTGCCCGCCTTGTCGAATGGTTTTCGATGTCGACCTTTATGCAGGAAGCACGTTTCTTTGCTACCTTCTTCACAGAGTACGGAACACAAACGAGTGTAAGGTGTATAAATGACCGATTTTGCATTGTATGGAGAAGGCATCGAAACTTAGTTGCATAAAGGAAATTATTGAGAAAGGAACGGACAGTGGCTTTTATAATCAAAAACAATAATTTACCGGCGAGTTTTATTTAGAAAGTTACAGATGTTCTATCTCGCTCGAGTACAGCCTGGGATAGGAAACACTCCTGCATAGTTTTTCACGTATCACAGTTTTCTACAGAGTGTGATACTCATTCACAAGGCACTTGTCAATATTCCGATTCGAGGAGACTAACTACCTTTGCCCGTACAGCAATATGTTTAGAACGGTTCCTTACTTTCAGCAACATCATAATATGCCGATGCCGCAACAAATGACCTAAATAGCTGGCTTAAAGTTTGGATATCCATGAAACACTCAATGAAATGACAGTCTTTTTGTTCGACTTCCAACCTTCTTTTGGCCAAAGCTCGAATCAGGTAAAGAGTTCAACTGGTGTTCAGTTATGATAACGATTTCATTAAACTTAAGTTTATTAGATAACGCTATACATACGCGAGAATGGTTTTTGATGCCATTTCTGAAGTGTACTCAATAGGGAAAGAGATAAATTTGTAGATAAAGGATCGAAACGTCATTCCCTCAGCATAAAATGACATCCAAGAGTTAAAAATATCCAAAGCAATCATCTCGAATATCGTGATCGAATCACTGAAGTATTATCCCTGCGATGCACTGTGTAACAAAGGGCCAGTTTGGAATGTTTCAAAAAAGTAGGTTCAGTAAAGCTGATTAGACATAGAACCCTGCATAACCGCTATACTCATTAGACATTATCGTTTTAGACCATAGAATCTAGACCAGACAAATAATGAAGTCTCCAAAAATCGTCCTGCATTGTCAATTAACTATTTCATAAAGCAACCACTTTCCTTCTCAACATCAAAATCGCATAATAACGCATTTATTAGTTGACGATAGAAAAGGCAAAACCCTTTCGGCTCTACGATGTCCTCGTGTAACTTGTAACTTGGAACTATTTTGCAAATAATTCAGAAAGCTTTTTAAGACTCCTCGATATTTATCAACGAACGTGTTTTACTGAACCCCTAAAGACTGTTCAGTTTTCGCTATGTGTGGTTCGATTTCTCGCTAAAATGGCAACTTAATCTCAACTTCGTTGTAGATACTTTACCCTTAAGTTGAGTAACCGGTCGGGGTTTCAGAAAAAATTGGCAGTCGAAGTTTGCACTTTGCAGAACTCTATGATGTAATGCTTGACCAGAACATTTAACAGTTGTGCGGCTTCAAATATTAATTTATAGGGAGTCGTATAAAAAGCGTGTGTAGTATTTTTCGAGTATTCTAGCGTAAATGCACCGTTTCCAACGCAATATATACGATTCTATTCAATACAATTTAACATGTTTTCCCTTTTAATGATGTTTATATTACACGATGCGAACGTGACGGCCTTTTTCTTTATTACTTCGCGTTCTTAAATATTCGTTGCTGCAAGTGAAGTATTACGTGCAGTTTGTCAAGTGACAAAAGCAATATCCTCGACGTTTCTTGCTACTACTCAAAGAGAAGTCAAAAAGCTGCCGAAGCGATTTGGAGGTACGCCGTGTACGACCAGGTCTCTGTAATTGAGAGTTATGGGAATATATGATATAGGGTGATTTCGAGGTTTTCTGACAACAGAAAAATACAGAACAAAAAGACGTTTCTGGTTTTTGACCCCCGACATACCTGTCTCGGAAATCGAAGTAGGGGCAATCTTTTTTTTATCCAAATCAAACCCACCTTGCAGGGAAATATTTTTGTTTGGTTTACAACTCTTATCAAAGTTATCGCTTATCAAAGTAAAACAACTGCGACTTTCCGTTGTTTTCTTCTAGATTGTCGTATTAGAAATGTTTCGTAACACATTTGAATTACTGTTACGATAGTAAAGGCCTCGAACGTTATTTTGTTAATGTGGTTTTCCAACTTATACAACATATCGTATATAGCTCCCAGGCCTGTCATTTGCAACTACATGTTTGTCACAAGCATACTGAAACGCATTTGCTTAACTTCCAAACACAACGTTATCTGCCTGTTTTATAATTACCAGCATCTAAAAGATTTGACTGGGTTTTTACCAGACAAACTATTCAAGCATAATATAGATCAGCGTGCTGTCCAAGGTGTTGATCGCTCAAAGCTTCTTTTCATTTCCGTTAACGGTGTATTTCGCACTTCTTACCTGAACTATCAGTTTCTAATTCTGAATGCCTTTAGAGCTTCCTTGCGCATGAAACTTTCTCATAAGTGCTAATAGTGCTTGCACACTCGCATGACTAACATATAGATCCCGTACATACATAAGCTCGAAGAACCTTCTCTAAATATTAAGTCGACACAAATATAGGCAAATCTAACGAATGCGCTATATAAGTCTCTTGTGATCGTCCATTGATAAAGCCCTCATATTGCCGTCATTCTGTTGCTATCATCGTTGCTGTCGTGCGTGTTCCACAACGGGTTAGCAGGGGGTCGCACAGTGCTTTCTCGTACAGTATTTATTGAGGTCGCTCACTGATTTTGTCACCCTGCATCACAAGCAGCAGGTCTCTACATGTTTCGAATAACCTTTTCTCGTATTGACATTGCTACTGCAACGGATATCTTGACGTCGCTTGTCGCATACAACGCAACAGCCGCGGTAGCGGCGCTGGTCGTTGCGGTAGTCCGAGCAAACGACATTCTCTGTAAGCGCGCATAAACGGACAGACATGTGTAACCAACAGGTCAGCGCCGTCAGACCGCTGTGTTCATAGTCAGTTTTTTGAGCCCAGCACCGTCTATGCTGCTGCTACTGTTGTTGATGTCGGTGTTGTCTGCTTGGATAGTCCGCTAGCACAGACATCGTAGTAGCCCTCTCAACCAATAAATTTGTCAGCTTTGGCGGTCACAGCTCTGCCAAAATGTGGCAGCATAGCAGAGGATACTTTATAACATAGCACGGAGCCGGTTTTACCCATCGGCCTCTAGTGCAGTGGTTTTACTAGGTTTATAACGGATCGCTTCATCAATTGGTCCTTTCATCGGTCGTTTTCAGAGTCCGCCGCAAAGGCAGAAGTAATACATGTATAATATCGTGATTAAGCACACTTGGGAAAGTCTGCGTGACTGAAATGTGCCAGTATTTTATTTTCCGATACGTCCAGCAAATAACAGTGGCGCAAGCGGCCGGGTTTGACTGCGGCTGCCGTACGTGCGGAATGAATCTGTCGCACCATGATGTTGTATTGCCCAATGTGAAAACAATCCTTAGATCACTGATAAGCACAGCGAAGCGGTTCTCCACCGATGTTCATTAGCCAAAACAATAAGATAGGACGACGTTTGCGACTCTCACAGATACATACACGCGCATACGTTCGTACGTTGTAGACAAACTGGACAAACAATAGAACAATCAAAAGAGCCATCGATTATACCACGAAATATCCGCTGTAGAACCAGAAGGAGCTTTTTACTTGCGGCTGGTACCAATAGTTTAAAAGTTCACAGTTGCAAATTGTCCCATCCATCGAAACTTTCAACATAACGGGTTCTAAGTGTTTGCTATACTTTTTGAGATAATATTCCTGTGGTGTGCGTTACTAGCAGCCAGCATCGTGCCAGCGATAAAAACGGAAAATGCTATTGATATCAGACCATCAGTTTTTCGGGAGAAGGCCGATTGGTCGCTGGCACTAACCAGGCGACGATGTACCCCGGAAAGCTTCACAGAACGCGGAAAATAACATCATCGAGTTTCAGTCATGTTTGAAGCACGTAACGAAGGACACTGTACTTTCCCCATACCTATACCCTCAATCGCCGTTTCATCGATCACCTGTCATTCACACGTAGAAGATCACTCATATTCCCGCCGTGTCACCCGCCGTGTGTCTATGCGTATCTGGCTTTCTTTAGTTGTTACTAGAAGCATGTTTGATCGTGACGCCTAGTCACAGTGTTCACAGAACCGCACACCGAGCGTCAACTCTAAACGCTTGTCAACTATATCGTCGTCGTCGTCGTATCGACAAAGTACATCAACTTCAGGGACACGCCTTCTAGTTAATGATCGCGTGTAGCACCAGTCCGTTTTGTAAAGCCTGTATCTGATTCGAACAGCACTCTCATAATTTGAACTTTGAAGTTCGTTGCTTGATACTGTTATTCCTTGCATAGTTATTTTTAAACTGGTCATTCATATTGTGGTGGGTGCCTGTGGATAAGTGTTATCGCTTCATTGGTCATCTTGTTTATTGCTTTACTTTTTTATGCAGCTTTTACTGGCTACCGTTGACGCGCGTGCACCAAACGTGACGTTGTTGTCAGTCGCTGTTCGACGAGTTGTAGTCATTGGTGTCCTGCGACAGCAACAGCACCCGGTGGCGAGGCAGCTAACGTTAACTCGAATGAAACATTATAAGGTGAGGCGCCAAGCACCGCGATACTGATGACCGATCGAAAGGTTGGTCGATCAGTGGTTGGAGACTGGCCAATCAGCGAGTCCTGCTAGCTAAAAAAGCGACAAGACAGTGAAGGCCTGCGGCAGCATAGCCCCCACGTATCTGGTGACTCATCATCGTCTGCCGCACACACCTAATACACAGATTAAACCAATGGCAGCCCAATTAATGGCGTCGTTGACATAAAAGCT